CATCAAAGTAAAGAGATTGATAATGATATTTATTTTATTTTAAATTTAGTTGCAAAGAAATAAAATTCAAGCCTATAAAATTGTGGGATTTGGTGTTTATTTTTTTAAATGACATAGAGCTGTGTCATTTTAACAGCCTCTTTGACACCTTTATTTTTTAAGTTAAAAACTACTTTCAAGTTAAAGCTAAAAAAAAGAGTTTTAAAAATAAAGTTACAAGCTGTTTGTTGATTGTATAAAATTTTTAGTTTAAAAATTATTTAAAAGTTGTTATTTAAAAACACACATTTCAAAAAAAGCTGATACAATTTTTAAAAAATTCTTGTTATGAACTTTTGGCTTTTAATTTTTTTTTTATTATATAAAAAAATTATTTTTATTATAATAACTTTCGTAAAGATTTCTTTGACCTAGCTTCTACAATAAGGAGATTTAGAAATTAAAAAAAAAAAACCTACCAAATAGGCACTAAGTGAAAAAAAAGGGATACGCAATGAAAATCACAGGAAAAGAAAGAGAGTAATTTTTTTAATTTAAATTTTAAATAAAAAATATTAATTTTAACTAAAATTACCATACTTTAAAGGGAAAAGTGTGTATAATTTTGAAGGATGTAAAGTTGTGTCATTTTAAGAGAGAGAAAGAGATAGATAAAGGAGGAGAGAGAGTTGACAAAAAAAAATAAAGTTGTGGGTCCCACCTCTTTGTGAGAGTGAAAGGATGTAAGTTGTGTAATTTAAAAGTATAGACACTTTTCCCTACTTTAAAATCACAAATTTTTTCTCCCAAAATTATGAGTTTACCCATACATGATACATTACATGCAGTTACTCATTGAGTAGTGATAGTGATACATTGAGACAGAGGAACCTGATCATTCCGCGCTTTTTGGGGTATACATGCAATGTGTTCCGAAATTTGTAACTTCAGAAAGACAAACATAAAACAGAGGCAAAAAGGTGGGGCTGAGACAGGGGACCATAGTTTAATGGGGGAAGGGGAAGTGGGTAGATATTTTATGGGTTAAACCACGAATGTTCAGCCAATGTACTAGAGCTCTTTTCATTCATTTAATGTAAAATTTGAAACTTTGTATTGGATTGATGTAGTTCAAAAGATTTTAACAAAATCATATGGTGAGACCAGCTGGGGATGGGTGCAAGTTTGCGCAAGGAACAAATCTATGTCTGTGACGTGGCATACGCTGCAACACACGAGGGTGTGATTGTTAAAATTGCGCATGAAAACGTATGCGACTTGCATTATTTGAAGGGATTATATTTTCTTATGCAATAGGAGATATTTATCTTATATTGCACTCACAATTTTGTGTGAGTCTCATTGCACGAAAAAAAGGAAAAAAATTGAAGCGAGACCCATGTCTTTTTGAGTGTGTAGGAGAGAGTTGTTGTCTCGTGTAACATGAAATTAATATTTTCCTTATTTTAATGGGTTATATTTATGTTATGTTGGATAAAATAAATAAGTTTTCTACACACATAAAGTGAAGATGGATTTTGTATTTATTTTTCTTTCTCCTCTTATATATGAGTCACACTTATAATTTTGTTTTTATAATAGGATTCGCTTTTTCTGCAGTTACTGCAGATAAGTTATATTCAGTAAGCTCAATACAACATCGTTTTGGGGCGAAAATTATGGTGTTTTTGTAATTTTAATTTATTTTAGGGTTATTATAGTCTTTATAATTATAATTTTTTAATTTTTCAATCCCAAAACGACGTCGTTTTAGAAGTAAATGCAGATAACTTATCTGCATTAACTGCATAAATATTTTTCTGTTTATAATATGAGATAACCATTTTTCTACAAGATAAGATAAATATACCTCTATTTTAATTTCCTTATAAATTGTGTTCTGCAACAAATGCTAATTTGTCCCCTGCACAACTTAAACACACGTGATTTCATATATATTTTACCACATTATTTTGATACATTTTGTTTGGATTTGTATTAATTCGATAAAAAGATTTAAAATAGGCTAAACTAGAGGATAAACAAAAGCAAAAAAGAAGCGTAGGTGATGGGGCTGCAAAAATTGAGCCAAACAAAAATGATTTTGGGATTTGTTTTAGTTTCAAAGAAGAGTGAATGCGCAAGATAAAAGTCATAAAGTTAATGAGGCATATGCTGTATATGTTATACATAAAGCAAGCTGATGATTAAGTTGAAGCACCTTTAGATAGACATGTTTTTGAGAATATTATCTTGATCTTTTTTAAAGTTTTTCTTCAACAAGTTATACTTGGTGTGTATATTAACACATATCCAAATCTATCCGTGGATTTTAGGAACTTAAATGAACCAATTAATGACCAAAGAGAGATATGAGTCCACAAAAGTGTCCATGTGACCAAATGGTGGTAGCTCAGTTGGCGCATGGAAGCTAAGCAGATGGAGATGAGAGCATATGTTCGAATCTCCCCAGTACCACCTTTGGGAGGGGTTTAAAGCCTTAATCCTGGACCCGCTCCGAATCGAATTAGTTGCGAAACAATGAACCGATTGAAATATTTAAAAAAAAAAAAAAAATGTCCATGTGTTGGAGGCAGTCTTTTTGTGTACTTAATGATGACCACAACTTTAGTAATTTTAGTCATATAATACTTTATATATTTAGTTAATAACTTCCATAACATGAATTAAATTTTTATATAGTATTTTTTGGTCCTTAAAAAGTTATAAAGATAATATAATTCATATTATCATTCAAAATATATTTGTTAAAATAAAAGAAAATTTAAAAAAAAATCCTATCATGTTTTAATTTCTCACACTAAATTTATAGTTCCTTCTTTGTATACAATGTAACCCTAACTTAATGAGAATGGGTCACACTAAGTATTTAGGGTCTGTTTGGATGATTTTTTTTTTTTTTTTATTGTATTGTGTTTGGATGATTTTTTCCCTAATATGTTATTATTTTAAAAATAAAAGTATTTTTCATTTCTTATGTATGTTTATATGAATTAAAAAAACAAAAGTCAAAAAATAAAAATAAGGATATGCTTTTATTTTTGGAATCCAAGATTTCTACCTTAAAAAAACTATAATATTACTTTTGGAAAAAATATTTATCATTTTAAAGAACACAATTTTGTGTCATTTTAAGTGAAACTATTGTGTTTTGATGGATTTTTACCTTATCTCTCTTCCACGATATTTTCTTCTTGTTTCTCCTTCTGATTTTATGGAGGATAAATAATGTAAAAAACTCTCTAACACAGTAATTTTACTTAAAATGACACAAAATTATATCATTTAAAGTGATAAATACTTTTTCCTTATTTTTTACTTAAAAATATTTTTTAAATTTTGATACAAATATAAAATAATTCTAATTTTTATATGATATATTAAAAAATAATTGATATTTTTTTTTCAAAAAAAAACTCATCCAAACATACTTTTATTAAAAAAGAGAAAGAGACGAGGCATCAAATTTACATACCTGTAGCTACCCTCATTGATAATTAATTTGCCTAACTTTTTTAGTTATGCTCAATATTGTCAATAAAGAGAGAAGTAGTTGTAGAATTGGATGCGTTACATAAAGAATGACCCCATGATTACAGCAATTATCTAATCAATATATTATTGGAAATAATTTAAGTTTAGCTCTCTTCATGATTGACAATAATTTTATACTGTTTGAAAGTTAGTTGATTCAGCTTTTCCTCTAATTCAGCTTGTATAACATTTCTTTTTTTACACCTGGATTTTTTTTATAATTATTTTACCAGGGAAATTCTAGTCGATTGATACCTAACCTAGCCCCTCACCAATTATAGTGCCTACTTTCCTTGACTAATATTAATTCAATGGTGGTAAATAAATAAAATAATTGAAGATATATTATAATAAACATATTCAAAACAAATTATTTCATGTGGTATTTAATATAATTATATTATGTGAAATAATTTTAATTCTTTCTAATTTAATTAAAGATTTTTTTTTTGTTATTTCTCATTTTAACATTTTTTCTTATGAATGATTAGAATTATCTTACATGATATGGTGATATTAAATAACACATGAGAGTCCATTTCCTAAAAATGAGAAGCTATAAAAAAGTATTCTGAAAAAAATAATAATATTTACGTAAGTTTTAAGCGATAAATTATTTACATGTACGATTGTAATACTTTAACCATAAAAAAGGATAATATCTAATTTTCTTAAAGGGGCCATTTGGTACACGGATTTTTTCCGGATTTTCGAGAAATTGAAATTTTTTAAATTTTAAATTTTCAGATATTATCATAAATTAAATGTAAAAATTATATTTTTAAAAATTGAGATTCCCGGACAAATAAAAATTTCTCCTGTACCAAACGTCCCCTAAAGTTTTACTTATAGAAAAACTATAAATTTCTTCCTTAAAATGAACTGATCAGCAAATGTTAATCTAGATTCTGTGCATTTTATAAAATAAACAGATAATTTAATTCTGTAGGAGGTGATTACCGTTACCTTTCCCATTTTCACTATTGTTTGTGTTTGGTGGGGAAAACGAGACAAAAAATAGATTGGTTTTAGAGGAAGGTTATACTTACAACCTCTTATAACCATATCTTAACACCGTTGATTTCTGACAATCAACGGTTAAGATTTATTATAAATTAATAATTAATTAATAAATTTAATTTCTAAAAATCTTAACCGTTGATGGACAAAAATCAACAGTTAAGATATAAGTTGTAAGAAGTTATAAAAAAAAAAAATTATAAATATAATCTTAGTTTTAACAGGAAAATCGTCGTTCGTGAATTAATATACAGGAACGACGTCATTTAAACTCCGTTTGTTTTGCCTTCTCTCAAACTTCACGTTCGGTTTAAGACTCGGAACGTTTCGTCAATTGTCCGGAACACAAGAGAGATCGCCGCGTGTCGCCGGAATGATAACCGCTTCAAAAAAAAAAAACAAAAAACATAGACTTTAGTGTCTGTCACGATTGCTTGTATGGAAAAGTCTCACAGACGCTGACGTGTTCACATTTATTCTTCGTAAATTCGCCGCTCTCTCTCTCTCTCTCTCTCTCTCTCTCTCTCTCTCTATTGAGTCTTCCATTTTCATTGTTTCTCTCTCTCTCTCTCTCAGATTTTTGTTCAGAGATAGGGTTTCTTTTCCTTTACTTCGAAACCAAAAGCTGAACTCCCTCTGGTACGTTCCTTTTCATGTTTCACTCTCAGTCTCGCGCTTCAATGTTGAATTTGCATGTGATACTGAATTGCCGTGTTTTACTGATTCGTGTGGATTCTTTTTTCTTTTTCTTTGTTTACTTTTTTGCTATCCGAAAATTGAATGATCTGCAATGCAGATTTGTTGCCGTTTTGCTATTTTCTTTAAATTTTGAGATTCCCTGTCTCTTGAGAATTTTAGCGTAGCTTAGCTATTTATTTAGACAGTCTCTGAAAATTTTAGCTTATATTTTTGTTGTAGATAAAAATTGAATAAAACTTTATTATTAATATTATTGTTGTTATTATTATTATTATTATTTTGGCAGGCTAACACTTTAGCAGCAATATCTTCAATTGCAAATTTTGAAAATGCTTGTGATTCCCTTCCTTGATGGGGCTAATACTGACGATGATGATAGCAGGGAGAGCAATGTTGATGGAAAATGTGATTCAAATCCATGGAAATGTAAAATGGCCTGTTTCTGAGTCCCTTTGATTTCCCCACCTGCTGTGCAAATTTTAGTGCATTTGAATCAGATGGGTTGGAAAGATCTGTATGTTTGTTAGAAGAAAACTAATATAGAAATGGCTGTTGCTGGTCTTCACAATGTGGCTGTGCTTGAATCTACTTTCCTTGGGGATTCCCATTCTCAGTCATCTGGGAGGCAAGGAGATCGAGGGAGGGGAGGCACCCGGTCATCTTCACTCTTGCAAATGTGGCGAGAGATTGAAGATGAGCATGTGGTGAGACGAGTTCAAGGAAGACCTGGAGAAGTGTTACCCCAACAAAGGAGTGATGGGTTGGTTGCAGACCTCTCACAGGAAAATTTGCCAGATAGCCACCAAAGGGAAGGGCATATGATAGAAGATGCAGTTTTGGGTGAGAATGAATCTGAAGCGTGGTCACAGTCACAAAGTCAGAATGAGTCCCATGATGAACCGGAGGAACTAAACAATTCTAGCTTCGAAAACTCTTCTGATTTAGGAGAAGTTGAAAGGGAAAGAGTGAGGCAAATTTTCAGGGAATGGATGAATAGTGGTTCTAGGGGTCATGCATCAAATATTTCCCGAGGAAATAGTGGTTCAAGGGGAGAATGGCTTGGGGAAACTGAGCAGGAAAGAGTGAGTATCATAAGGGAGTGGGTACAGATGAGTAGCGAGCACAGAGGTGTTTCTTCTGGGGAAAATAGAGAAGAACAGTCTTCTGAAATTGGTACCCAAATCGAATGTGTTAGTGATGGATTTGTAGTTAATCAGAATGAGGGCCAAACTGAGCATACACGGAGGGGGATCCGTAAATTATGTGGCCGGCAGGTTCTGCTTGATATGCTTAAGAAGGCTGAGATGGAAAGGCAAAGAGAAGTTAAGGAATTGTTGGACCATCAGGCAGTATCTCATTTTCCTCATCGCAATCGCATTCAGGTTTGTCCATTAAATGATTGATATCTTTTTTGATAATATTTATTTACTTTTTATGTACAATATGGGTATATAATGTGGATGTTGGACCTTTTTTTTTCCATGTGATGAGTAAAATATTTGCTTTAGTTGAGTTAGAGTGTTAGAAAGCAACCATAAGTGAACATTTTGGTTTTATCTTTTAAGCTCATTTGTAGGGGAAGTTGAAGCAAAACAATTTTATTGTACGCATAGTAAACAGAGAATTGTAGTATGTACATTATAAAAAGAAACATTCCTATAATCTGAAATTCAAATAATTTAGAAAACCTAAGAAAGAAGAAAGAATCTGAATCCATTTGAACTAAGAATTTAAAATGTAGGACTTCATTTGAATACAAGCTTTGCTCTTGTAATTGACGATTATTTGTTTAAAATATTTTCAGGCCTTGCTTAGAGGCAGATTCTTGAGAAATGATAGATCGATTGATAATAACAGGTCCATGTCCATTGCAGAAAGTGAATTAGGCTTATTGAGGCAAAAGCAGACTGTATCAGGTCTAAGGTATGCAGTTCATATTGCCATTAAGTTGAGAAGAAACTAATTTTTATTTTTATGTGAAATCTTCTGGATTTATTTATTTCTCTCCCAACTTTTATATTTGTGACCTTTATTACTTTCCCAATTTCCTTGTTTTTCGCTTAAATAGGTCAAACATCATCAGCTGACTTTCTCTTCTATTTTAGATCTATAGCTGACATGCACTGAGATTCTGCTAAATTGTCCATCTTTTGAATGTCTAATGAGTTGTTTCAATTATTTTTGATATATATATATATATATATATATATATATATATATATTACACTTTCTAACCTGAAGTATAATGACATATGGGTACACATCTGTTGTATTTGTTCAAGCATGTGGTCACTTCAATTTGCTGCAACAAAAGATATAACTTGTGTTATCATATTCATATTTTTGCTAAATGAGACATTAAAGCACGAATATTGTTATAAGATAACATTATCATCTAAAACATATTAACGCGATTATAAAACTTCTTCTAAGAAAGACAATAAAGCATTGAAATGAAGGAGGTGAATCCTTTTTATATCAAAAATAATTTTTTCATGTTTATTTTCTTCAGGTTTGCTCATGACCTTGCTTCATGAAAGTTTCGTATTCGTCCATATATCTTTTTCAGTTCACTGGAAGAAGGTTTTATTTGTTGTAGTTGAAAAACAAACTACGACATTTTATAGTGTGTATTTTGTTGGGAAATGACCGATTGGTGGTTTAAGACAACCACTGCTTGAGGATCATTTTAAAATTAATGTTATGTCAAATGCATCCAAATTGTTGAAATAATGTTCTCTCTCTTATTTTCCCTTAAACCAAATGAAGTGTAACTGTTCTTTGTTGCTCTAGCTTTACTGCTTAAAGCTGCTGGTCCTTTTTCCTTCCATCTTTTTTTGTTGTTTTATGTATATGCTTTATGCTGATGACATTAACTTGTCTTCTGAACAGGGAAGGATTCTTTTTTAGAAAGGACAATTTGGGTTGCAGTCAAGTAACCACCAACCTGTCTGATACCTCATCTGACAGTGATGTTGATGTTAATACATCTGAACAAACTGGAGCTAGCTGTTCACAAATGTTCCCAACTGAACCTTCTGAGCAATCAGAGCCTAATAACAGGGGAAGTGACAGACTTGGGATATCAGGCGGTCAAAATTGTTCACAAGGAACTACTTGTGAGAATTTAGATTGTCAAGCCTCTACTGTTCTTGGAGAAACAAGTTATTGGGAATCGTCTTCCAGTATCTGGGTTAAAAGAAGAGATGGCACTGGACAAAATGTTGATATGATGCCAACCGTAGATATTGCTAATGATCCGACCCTACCAAGCTTGCAAAGTGAAGATACAGAGCATGACAATATTCAAGAACTAAGTGAGATACAAACCCAGCAATCTCAGCTGGGTGATATAACTGATGACGAAAGCAACTTATCAAATCATAACAATCATGGAGAGGGCAATATTGTTGATGATGTTGTTTTGATTGAAACTGTTGCTCTGGATGTGGAGCAACAGGAAGATGTTATTATTGAAAATGATGGGAGTGATTGGCATCAAACTAACGTTGAATGGAGAAATAGCACCCAGGATAATGTGGATGATAATCAGCTCAGTAGCACATCAAATGAATGGCCCCAAAATATCTTGGGAAATGAAGACAGAGAAAATTCTCGTCCGCAAGAGCAAGAAGGCCCCGAAATGTGGCAGGAAGATGGTGGCTTTCAAGAGGCTGTGGAAATTTGGTTGGGAGGACCTTCTGACCATGATGTAGCTCCAGTTGGTAGAATTCATGGATTTTATTTTCCAGAAGATGACAATGTGTACAGTGTTGAACTCAGGGAACTGCTGAGTAGGTATGTAGACATCACTAGAGAGTTTCGGCAGATCTCCTTTTAAAATGAAATTATAGTAAACATTTCTTTTCCTTTTGCAGGAGAAGTGTCTCAAACCTCCTTCACAGTAGTTTTCGGGAAAGCCTTGACCAATTGATACAAACATATGTTGAAAGGCAAGGTCATGCTCACGTTGAATGGGAGCTGCAAGAAACAACCCCATCTTCTCCTTTGGCAGAACGAGACCTGGAACAGCAGAGTAGGGATCGGATTGTGGGTCCAGAGGATGCTGTTAATAGTTCACTTGACCTCCCCTTGCCACCAACACCTCCTCCTCAGCCTCTATGGGATCGACACTCACGTCATGACAACTGGTCACGGAATTACTTAAATAATCAGCGGCTAGGAATTGTATGTTCATTTGCATGATATAACTGCTTTTCCTTAGCTAATGTGCTATGGTCTTGACAATAGGTTGTCCCCTAGTCGTCTTATTATTTGAATAATTTTCGGATTTGATATTTTTGGCAGGAGTGGGATATTGTTAATGACTTGAGAATTGACATGGTTAGGCTACAGCAAAGGATGAATAATATGCAGAGAATGCTAGAGGCCTGTATGGATATGCAGCTTGAGTTGCAGCGCTCAATAAGACAGGAAGTTTCTGCAGCCCTCAATCGCTCAACTGGTTCATCAGGTCTGCAATTTTTTTTATCCCTTTCATGTTTTATATCCTTTTTCCATAGCCTTTCTACCTGACCTGTGATGTTAATCTTTAAGAAAAATAACTTTTCTCTATTGATAGTCTTAGATGACCAAGTTAAATTCATCACAGGAATGCATGACCATGATTCACCAGATGATAAATCTAAATGGGAATGTGTGAGAAAAGGACTTTGCTGTATATGCTGCGAAAGCAAGATTGATTCTTTGTTGTACAGGTACAATTCGGTGTCAGTTTGACGGCATCAGTAGCTAGTTTGTACCTGATGTTGATCATTTACATGTTGTTGTGTTTATCTTGCAGATGTGGGCACATGTGCACATGCTCAAAATGTGCCAATGATTTGCTCCAAGGTAGAAGAAAGTGTCCAATGTGTCAAGCACCAGTGGTGGAAGTGATACGTGCTTATTCTATACAATAATTTTGACATTAAAGGGTCGCAGTTATTACAAATTACAGGATCCTAACAAGTTATATCTCCTGGACGTTTCCAGGTACTCTCTTCTTTTTTTTAAATTTTCCTGTTTCTTGGGTGGGTTACTGTATTTATGTCGAGTGCACCAATGGAACACCTGATGACTTTGGGGCCATGATTCTGAAATGAATAAAAGTATATTTTGTTTGATTTGTGTGTTTGAGAAACCCACTCACTTTCACAAAAAAAATATGTTGTAAACTGAGATGTTATTCCCTTTCTTAATGAAGCGTAGTAGCCTACCCAGATAAAAGCAGATTTACTTGACAAGTGATGGCTTATTTCAACTCGGGTCATATATTATCTGGAAAAACTTTTTTTTTCATAACTAATTGACATTTTGTTTTGGTATACTATCCGATTGGAAACAGAAAACTTTCACACCTGGATAATTGATATCTCTATACAATATGGGAAAATTATTTGTCCTTCTAAAGACAGTCATTTCAATTAAAATTATTATTATTTATTTAATATTTAAATTAAAAAAAACCTCCCGCTTTCTTCGAAAAAAGAAATCTCTTATTTTCTTTCATAATGATTTTTGTTTTTCTCACCATAAAACATAATAATTTTGAATAAAATGATGCAATTCTATGTCCTCTCATAAAATATTGCAAAACATATGTGTTCATAATACAATTCTATTTTTTTTCTCAAATAAATTACTCAATAATATTATAATTTTATCATAATTAAATTATATAGGTGTAATTTACCAAAAATTAATAAAATAAAATTATATAGGTGTATAATAATGCTAATTTTTAATAGTGAACATATGCATAACTTAGGTCATCATCATAAATCCAGAATTTGGGAGAGACTTTAAACAAAATAACCCCAACATATAGCTATTATAAACATGATTTTATATTATTTTACCAACAAAATCGGAATATGTGAAAAAGAATTACTTTTACCAAATAACCTAAAACAGGTAGAGATTTACTAGAAGATTGTTTGGAGAATAGACCGTCATGCGAGATTATTAAACTAGTTGATATTTGAAGCCTTGAAGAATGAATTGTTGGAGAATGTATTTTATGATTTTATTTTTTTTAGTATTGGATTATATGATTTATTAAAATATGTCAAGAAATGCATATTTTTCTTATTGTAATGTTTGATGTGACTTGAGAAGATGATTCCAAGAATATCCAATATTCTCAGTTTGATTGTGTTATGATTTTTTTCTCCCTTAAAACTGTTTTGTAGAATAGTTATGAAAACTTATATTTTTTATTTTGATAGTTAAAAATCAAAACATAAAATAAAACCAACTCAGACATATTCTCTAAATTAATTTTAAAACAAATAAAAAAATCACAATTTTTTTTTACAAAATAGAGATTATCAAATGAGTTTTTTTATTTTGAAAACAAAAAAATATTTTAAAAAACAGGTTGGAATGAGAGCATGTTTCGATCTTCTTTAGTATCATATTTGAAACGGTTCAAAGTCTTAATCCTGTATCTGTCCTAAATAGGATTATCTCTCGTAGAGAAAAAAAATTATTATGCTCCTGCCCCACCATTTATTCAGTGGTCCTTTTTTATAAATGAAAAAAATTCTTCCATTTTTATTCCTTTCTTTTTGATTTTTTCCCTCTCAATTCTTATTTTTTTTTTCTATTTTGGAAGGGGACCATCATATTTCCATTCCACCAAAAACTTTCTCCTCGTAGAGAATACATGTGCAAAAAAAAAAGAGTATTCAGACATGGCCTTAATTTCTCATAATACCTACATTAGAAAAATATTTTAACCCGAAAAATGAAAATTAAATGAAATTAAGAGACAATATCAGAAAATGGAAAGGCAAAAGTAATTTGAAGTAATATATAATTGGGAAAATTCATCGTAGATAAATTTATGGGAAAAATATTTGAAATTTGTATTAAGTATGCACTGTGCAACAACTAGCGTGTGTAAAAAATTTGGTTCACTTGCTCTGTTCTTGATTTGATCCATAAATACTTATGTTTTTGTTTTAACTGAGTTTAAATACTGACCTATTTTTATTTGGGTCAGTTTTAGACCTGACTAACTTGACCCACACCGATTATGTGAAAAAAAAGAAAAAGAAAATCACAATTACATTAAAAGAAAAGTTTTAACGTAAAACAATTACGAAAAATATTTACATCAAAATTTTTCGCAAGGGTCGGGTCGGGTCGGGTCAAAATACTTTACCTATAAAAATCAAGTTGGCTCGAGTCGGCACAAAAATCTGACCCGACCTAACTCATGCACACCCCTAACAACAACAGAAGGGTCGCGTGTTGCAATATTCTTCTTGATTTTTTTTTTCTTATAAAAAATCTTAATTGATAATTGTGGACTTTTTGGTTAAGATGATTAGATCTATGAAGCACCGACACTTCAAAAATCCTGACGTGTCATGTTCGACACTTCCCGACACTCCCCGACACTCCAACACGCGTTATAGAAATTCAAAAAAGGTTTAAAGGTTGCGTTGCGTTGAGTTTTTAGTTCCAACTATTAGATTTGTTGGATTACGATTACTATTTTATTGAGTTTAATATAAATATTCGGGATATCTTATGTTTTTTTGCAAAATTTATGAATATTATAAGTTTAGATTCATTTTTTTGTTAAATTATTGAATATTAAATACAATATACACTACATAAATTAAAAATATTATTTAATATCAAAACGTGTCCTAACGTGTCGAAATCTAACATTTTTTAAAATTAACGTGTCGGAGTGTCGTGTCATATCGTGTCACGCGTCCCGTGTCGATATCGGTGCTACATAGGATTAGACTGTGGTAAGTGGTAAATCATTTTGATCCCTCATTTTTGTCCGCTGGACATGTTGGATTAGGCTTCATTCACAAAACAAATTGTTTAAGGGTTTTATTAGTATCATGTTACATAATCCAATAAAACTTTCCTACACACACAATTAAGAGGTGAGATCCATATTTTTTTTTCTCTTACATCATTCCACTTTCTCTCTCTTCTTTATTGTGAGGGTAGGAAAATTTTCTTATATCCTACAATATTATACTCATAAAACCCATTGTTTAAATCCAAAATGTCAGGAAAAAAAAAAAACACTCCGCCAGTGTTATATTATTCTTAAAATGAAAAATTAAGGATGTGTATATTCTTAAATTTTATTAGGATTTTAATACACTTTAATTAAATTAAAAATTAATGTTGCTTTAACTCATTTTTAAAAGAGCCTTATTCTAAAACGCTATTAGCCATGTACTAAAAAAAGAGAGGCTATTAGCCTACTGAGTAAGAGGAACCTATGCTTATTACGAAGCTCTCGTTCTTCTCATGGGTTTTTGTCTTGGTCCTGGGCTCCCAGAGATGGGATGGCACTATGGCGATGAGATATCGATTGTTTTGTTTTGTTGTTTATATCCTTGTTTTTATGTTGCGACATATATAAGTATCTCTGTAATAACAAAAAAAATTTAGGCATCAGAGTTTAAGTTGAAACCAATATTTACTCACTCATTTCTTTTTTTTAATATATCCAATTTGAATTCATTTCGCTTTGATGGAAAGTTGGGCTACATGATCTATCTTTTCCTTCTAAAATTTCGCCCTAATCGTTGATAACAAAAGTAAACCATAAAAGTTTTTAAGTTCAATATTTAATATTCCATTATGGTATTTTATTATGGGAAATAATTTTCTTATGTTGTAGGAAAAAAATTATTTTATATAATAAAAATAAAATTATAAATAAGATCCACAGTTAAGAGGAGATAGAAAAATAAAGATGAGATTTATCCTTGTGTGTAGGAAATTTATTTCTCTTATATAACATAAGAGAAATATAAGTTTTTTTTGGTAAAGAAAATATAACCCTTTTATTATATATGTTTGAGGGTTACGAGAGAACGAAAAATGAAAGAAGAGAAGTTAAGCAACAAGCTTGATTTCTTTTGGATGTTTACAACCCTCCAAAATCTTTAAATTTATAGAGTTTAAAATGTTTATCAATTTTGAAGGATTACTTAAGTCCCCCCTTCAGAAATCTTCAAATTCAAAGAACTAAAATGTTTATTAGTTTTGAAGAATTATGTAAGTCCCTCGCCCTCTTTTCTCCCATGTGGGGCGTGAGCTACTGAAGGGGACACGTCCAATGTAGGGCGTGAGTGGCAGGAAAGAGACATACCTCTTATGGGGCGTGAGCTGTGATGGTAGACACGCCCAACATAGGCGTGTTCCACTGGAAGGTCACGCTCAATCTGGGAGTGAGTGACTAAACTGCAGTCTATTTAAACACTCACCCCCTACACTCTTCACAACTCTCTCATTGTTATGCTTAAACTCTCTGATAGTTTGCACTTGTTTACTCATATTTTGTTTTATCTTTTTAAATCTTGATTTTAAAAATGAGTGCGAATTCTGATACTATTCGTGTTATTTTTAACGGTAGGAAAGAAGAAGGTCGTCGTGGTGTTATTTTTGTAGGGGAGAAAAGGCCATCACGTATTAAACGGAACTCAACGGTTGCTGAGCTACATCAGAAAATACGTCAAAAATTATGTCTTCAAGACAACCAATTGATCACTCTAGTCACGACAAGATTATGGCAATGTGAACAATACATTAGCTTGCAAGTGGTCGATGACGAAGACATCGATATGGTAATGGAAGAGTTCTTGAACCAGTCCAGAAAGGATTTCTTAGAGTTGTATGTGGATACTACCACCGCGGAGGAAGTTGTTATACCAATGAGGTCAGTTAGGTCTACTTCTCCTCTTAATGCATCCTCATCTGCTGCTCCTGCTGTTAACATGTCTGAGGAAGATGAACATGAACCTACTTGGGTTATGGATGAGGAGTATGACGAAGATGATGAGGAAAATATTGCAATGGAGGATCGTCTTCTTGCAGAGGATGCGAGTGCATCGGACAATGACAAAGAATGTGGCAGGTCTGGTACTGAACTTCAACCATGGCATGATTTGGGGGAGTCTCGTATCGTTGTACATCATGACACAACATTGAGTCAAGTACCAGAACATCCTGAAGGTATGCTATCAATTAATATATTGACAGTTTGGTTGTTGCAATTTTTGATTAAGAAAATAATTCAATTCTATTATTATTATTATTACGTAGTACATGTAGGCGATGCACCTGTTGATCCTTTTTGGTCAGAAATTCCACATTACACATATATTGATTGGGATTATCCAAGTGAGGCACAATCATGGACGCAGAGTTCGGGTTCAATCCAGGGTCCATGGCAATTGGGAGAAAAGTTGTTTGTTAACCAACACTTTACATCCAAAAAAGAGGCTCAGATGGCAATCAAGCGCTACCTCATGAAGGAGCATCAAGAAGCAATCGTGGTTGAGAGCACTCCCACATAATTAAGCATGAAATGTTGTGCACACGTCCAAGGTTGCCCGTGGAGGATCAGGGTAATTAAACCAACGTATGGTGAAAATTGGAAGGTAACGAAATGAGGTGGGAATCACAATTGCTTGAATGACCATCTTTCTCAAGATCATCGACAACATGATTCTGACGTTATTGCAGCACTTGTAGTAGGTACGTAATTTCAAATTAAAAAGCTAATTAAAATTGCAGTTGATATACTTGTTGTTATGTTAATGTTTATATCCAGCTTTTGTAATTCAGAGATGATAAAAAAGGAACCTTCAGTGGCCATTACGCTCGTTCAGGAGAGGATAACTCATTCATATGGATTCAAAGTTTCATATAAAAAGGCATGGTATGCGAAGCAGAAAGCCATGGCAATGTTATATGGTGATTGGGAGGAATCCTATGCATTTTTACCCAGCTGGTGTGAATATATGCTTCGTTTTTCACCAGGTTCTTTTTACAATATTCAAACAAAGGATTGTTTTGTTGCGAGGCAGTTGGTTCCCGGAAAACGTGTATTTGTTCATTGTTTCTGGACTTTCAGACAATGTTGTGAGGCATTTAAATTTCGCAAACCAATGATACAAATTGATGGCACTCATCTATACAGAAAATATAAAGGAAAGTTGTTGATTGCCCTAGCTCAAGATGGTAATAATGAATGTGTGCCACTTGCATTTGCCGTTGTTGAGGGTGAGACATTGGAGGCTTGGTCATACTTTCTTGCCAATCTTCGTCAGCACGCCACACAAGCGCAGAATATATGTCTAATTTCAGACCGGCATGTTAGCATATTATCGGCTGTTGAAAATAATCCCCTATGGCAACCACCCCATGCATTTCATGTGTTTTGCTTGCGACATGTTACAAGCAATTTTAATCAACGATTTAGAAATGACAAATTGAAGGCTAGCCTGATGAATATAGGTATGTTGCACACTATGATTGGTGAATTAAAATGTTGTATTTTTTCGTTAAGCATCAACTGTGTGTTTTTTAAATTGTTCGCAGGATATACTCCTTGCATGGTGGATTTTGAGAGGTCGCTAGCACGATTTCGTGACACAAGCAGGCAGGTAACGGAATGGATTGATGCCATCCCTAAGGAAAAGTGGTCGCGTGCACATGACCTTGATGGATGAAGATTTAGGCATATGGCAACAAACTTGGCAGAATCCATAAACAGGGTGTTAAAGGGAGCAAGAAACATGCCCATTACTGGTCTGGTAAAATTTACATACAGTAGATTGGTCTAATATTGCGTGGAAAGAGGTCAATCGGCTTGTAGACAACTTGAATCTGGTCATACTTATTGCAAAAATGTGATTGAATCATTGACACATAATGAATCTGTGGCAACAATGCATACTGTGCGTACATATAATGCGGCGGCGGAGGACCATGGTACATAGGCTGTGGCCCGCCTACTTGGCTCAGCACTGGCGGTCTAAACCAACCCTGCATATCAGTGCGCGGTCTAGGAGCAATAATAGGATCGGGTATCGCTCGAACCGATTCCCGCTGTCGTCCTAGTCCACGTCCCTCCTGCCTGCCACTAGGCACCTCAATGGTCAACATTGGCTCCTCAACAGTCTGCGTAGGTGGAGCCTCTGGCCCTGGCTCCTCTACTCGTGCCGACTCTCTGAATATGGCAATAATGCGACCAATCTCGTCATGGACCCACTCTAAGCCAAAGGCGGGGAACTAATCCACAGTAGTCGCAAAATATAGCATCTCCAACCCATCAATCTATAAAGAAATGAAACAACATGTGTTAATTAAAAATGTATAAACACATAATCATATTCAAAATTGAAGTGTCAAAACTTACTGCTCGTCCAACCCTGGCAGCTTTCCTGGCGACGAACCGTTTCCCTCGCTATCTGTACCAGTGTAGGTACTCATGGTTCGGGGACATCAACCCGACCAGTACAGGGGGAACACGTATGGACGTATCCCTGATCGTCCATCAATGTATGAAGGGCCTCATCTTACGCTCCCAATTATCATCCTTCTTCCCTCGCAGAGTTAGATCATGAACACCCTTAAGCTTTCTTGGTCTTCGCGGTATGGGCTGATCAAAACCAAATTGTCGCATACATCTATCCGGTTGAGCGCACTCAACTGTGTGGAAGCAAATGATAGGAGTAATGGCCAACCATAAGTACCGCCCGATACCAAACCGCCCGATACCAAGACTGCTCATGTGGCTTAAAGGGAGGTAGGGAATTAAACCTGTAATAGAATGTGTAACAAATTATCATACTCATACGGCAAATGAACATGTAATAAATTAGTCAATATGAGTTAATAAAATATACCTGTGACCAAAATGCCACTCTGGGTGGGTAGGCTACGGGTAGGTGGTGCAATGGGGGGGGGGAATCTAATCCAAGCCCATATCTGCAGTAATACGTGACAACCACCCATATTAACAGTCCGCGGGTTTGTTGACACACATAAATGTCTAAAGAGATGGGCGAGAACCGCAGACCCCCAACTGTATCCGCCAATGTCCGTAAAGTCCCTTGCAAGCAGTGGAACGTAACGACAAGCAATTTTGCTGCCACCTGATCTGTCACACACTAACCATGAGCCTAATAGCCGCAAAATGTGTGCCTTGGTGCAACGCCTCACCTCCTCAGGATTGTGTGCTACTATAAACCAATCAGCATATATCCTGTCTAAGTAAGAAATACGTAGATCGCCTCCGTGAATGTCTGTGCCCGCAACAGGGGCAGTCCCAAAAACCTGCTGACACATAGCAATCCAATCCAACGCTGTAGATCCGGTAACTGCCTGCCCGTCATTAGGCAAACCAAGCATAGCAGCCACGTCCTGTAATGTAACGGTCATCTCTCCCTGCGTCATGTGAAACGTATGTGTCTCCGATCTCCAACGCTCAACCAAAGCAGAGATCAAGGGGGTATCGATCTGAAGGAAAAACAACAATTATACAAAGTCCACATACGGTAATTTAATTAAGTAATTTAAAAATTACATACCTGAATATGACTCATACGTGTCACGTGTATGAACCCAGCTTGTGTCAAATAGTCAGCGACAACGTCTGGTATATCATCATGATGGGGTCCCCCCTGAAGTTTCCCTTGCCTCGTCTTTAACCCCCTGACCTTATCCTCGTTCCACACAACTTGTGAAACGTGACTGCGCTGTGTCCTCTTACGGAGTACCTCCCACCTATATGGGCCAGGAAGTACATGCGTACAAGGATCGAATGGCTCAAGATCACCATCGGATCCAGAGCGCGAGGACTCTGATGAAGACGAATGGGTCATAATAGAATACTACTACAAATGAAAAAGATGTACCCAAATTACTATTGATATTATATTAATTTACACTAAATAAAATTTAATTGAACTTAATTAAATAGCATTTAACTAACTTCAATTGTTATATTAATTTCAATTAAATTAACATCATTGACAATTAATTCATTTAACATTACATTATTCTAAAAATATATTTCAATACATTAAATAATTCAAATTCAACTTAAATTAATATTGCATACGTTATTCTTTTTTTACAAACCCTAATTATATGTGGTTAATTGAAAGGTCAATATGTTTGCAAGTGTCATTCATAAAAAAATATTTAGTCACAAACTAATTTCTAAGTGTGTAAATAAGTCATAAAACCAACATATACCAATTTAGAAGTAACTAATTAATTTTTAAGTCCATATCTAATACCTAAGTCACATCCCAATTCTCTTACATAGGTCACTAATATTTTTCGAACCCCCTAACAATTAAATAAAGTCACAAATATTTTTCTAACCCCCTAACAATTATCTAAGTCACTAATAACTATCATATATTAATTGCTTTTAATAAAAAAAAATAAACAGTAAATAGGGACTTACATGAGAGAGACAGAGCTTCGCTGCGCAAAACCCTCCAAAAGAAATGTAGAGAGAAGGAGGAGGAGGAGGTTTAGAGAGAGGATGGAGGGTGGAAATGAGGTAAAAAAGTGAAAAACCCATATATATAGACCACGGAGAACACGCCCATCAGGGGCGTGTCTCTCTCTTGCCACACACGCCTTACGTTGGACGTGTCCCCTTCAGTAGCTCACGCCCCACATGGGCGTGTCTCTCTCCATGAGAACACGCCCCATGTGGGCGTGTTTGGGTGCTATAAATTCGTAATATTTTACAAAACGACTACTTATTCATAATTTTTTTATTAAAAAAGTAATAAATTAATTTTTTTGCTGAGTAACCTTTGCTACCTTTGTAACCATCTCTTTTTATGTTATACGATGGAATTAGGGTGTAAATGAAACTAATGAGTTTAAAATAGTACAAGCTTAAATTTATTAAAAGATTTCTTTAAAAATCAGGCTGCAAGTAGGTTTGGCTTCTTAACCTCCAAGTCCGAGTCGTATTTTTTAATAAATATTTTATTTTTTTAATAAAATAATATCTTATTATTTTTTCATAAAATAATATCTTGTTATTTTTTAATAAAATAATAACTCATATCTTTTTTTTTTTAATTTTTTGCAATCTAGATTCTCATTTGGCAAATACATTTTTTTTAATCCTAAACTCTTTCGTCTGCCATCTCTCTTCTTTATGCTAAATTTTGCTACTCTTTTGTCCCGTTCTCAACTTCTCATCGCTTCAAGACCATTCATTGCTCACTTAAGACTTTCGCAACTGATAATAAATCCTTTGACTCTTTCCAAAATTTCCATTAAAAAAATAACATTTGAATTTTGGGTGTTATATGCATTTACATATATTATAAAGTATCGTAGACTGTTATACAAAAAAAAAAAAGTATCGTAGACTTGTGCAGATAATACTACCGTACAACTCGTTTGGTATCACATCTAATTAACCTGTATTGGTACGGGAATATTACAGAATTGAGTCAAGGCAAGATGAGAGTCTATGGGTATGGAGAAATATGATGATAACAAATTTCATATATTGTAAACTTGCAATAAAAAATAATATGATCCATTGAACGGCAAACTTAATTATTGATATCCATTTTTTCCCCCTATTCTATTTTTTTTCATATGAAAGTTAATCTTAAATGGAAGACAGTCATAGTCATAGAGCAAGTAGAACCACAAAAATCCTAAGCAAAAGTAATAAGAGATTATCATATACTTTTGCGTCTCTTGTTAGTCATAGTAAACTCATACATGGATTGGAAGAACATCTCTACCTCCCCGGGTCTTGTTTCTTCAAAGAAGCTAAACTCATTTGACAATGAGGTTCTCATAATGCGACACGAAATTGATGACACATCGAATCTTTTCTTTCTTGGTGCAAATGGGCACTTCACAATGGTTGGTATCTTGTTCCCTGACCAAGTTGGGGTGTTGCACTCTTCTACCTCCTCCATCACCTTTTTTGGTTGAATCATAAGCTTTAGGTTCATATCTCCCACTCTTTCTTCTTGTTTAGAATCAGTCAATCCTTCAGTTTGTGGAATACCTTGCTTCATTGAGATTCACTAACAAGCATAAACAAAAATATAAGCCATAGCCAAAAAAATAAACAATAAAATAAATTCTTCATATTAAAAGAGAGAGATAGTTAAATAATTGGAAAATTTTGCTATTACTCTCTCAACCTTTTTCGCTTCAAGCTAGAAACTTCAAAGAATGACGACACCGTGAAGTTATAGTTGCCAATGACATACCCATGTGAGAACAAGTCTAGGTACAATGGCAAGAAAGGCACTACTCCAATCCTATAATCCTATTAGAGTAATTAATGGCCTACACGTTTGGAAATTTTTGGACAACTTTCCTTATAAACTTTAATTTTTAGACCGTTACTAATTTAAACGGTAAATCTTGTATTAGTCAATTTTTTTCCTAACAATTTCATTAATGTATAACCTCCAATCATGCATATTTTGAATTTGTTATTGCCACGGTCATGCCAAGAATAACTTACCTGATCAAATACATAACAATATATTGATAAAGGACTTATTTGGATTCATGTTTAAAATTGTAATAAATAATTTTGTTATCTTAAATATAATTAACATATACCTCATATTATATATAATTATGTTGGAAATTTCAGCACGAGGGATTTCATATGGATTAGTGATAAAATAAGTGAATACTATATGGGTTCATTTTTTTGCAGTTACTGCAGATAAGTTATCTGCAGTAAGTCCAATACGATATCATTTTAGGGCGAAAATTATGATGTTTTTATAATTTTAATTTATTTCAGGGTTATTATAGTCTTTATAATTATAATTTTTTAATCTTTCAATCTCAAAACGACGTCATTTTGGAAGTAAATGCAGATGACTTATCTCATTAACTGCAAAAATATTTTTCTGATACTATATAAGGAAAATGATTCATAAATTCAACGTGACTATTAAAATGAAAAAAATATTCAATTAAAAGAACATAAAATTATAAAAATCATTAAAACTAACAATAAAATATAAAATAAAAGCAACACATTTGACATTATTTAAGATATACAATATTTTTTAGTTTCCGAGGTATTCTTCGGCCAATAGCCAAGACTAATTGGATTAAGATTTTAAAAGACTTTTTTGAGATAATTTTTTTTATAAATTTTAAAAGACTATTTAAAATTGGAGGGACTTTAAATACTTTTTCAAAAGACATTTTTTAAAATCAAGATTTCATAAGAATGGATTTTAAATGATTTTAATAAAATTTATAAGATTTGAAAGGATAATATGAATTTATAAGATTTTAAGAAATCATATGAATTTTTAACGAACATTCAAAATTACAAGAGTCAATAAAAAAATAACAAAGAAATGCAATGATAATAATAAAAAAGTAAAATCTAATATAATTTTCTCAATCAGTAAAATTCATGATAAAATTCCGTTTGGAATTTTTTGCAATTGATTTTGTAAAGCTTGGAGTTTTTATTCTACGTGATGAGAGTTTTGTAATCATATATTATATGCATATTTTCATTGAGTATTTCAAAAAAAAATTGAATCTGAATTTCTGGATTTTATTATATGAAAGTTTAAAAAATTTCTCAAATTATTTTCAATCGATACATTGAAACCTTAAACTGCTTTGGGGTTTTTGAAAAATAAGCTTTTAGTATGTTATAAAAAAAAATAAAAAAATAAGCTTTTAGTTATCTATTAACACAAAAATTGTTTGAAATCGTTTCCTATAGCGGAGGAATTTCGTTTATGAATGTATTGTTATTTAACATAGGGTTCATATTATAAAAGTTTCAATATTTCTTTAAATCGATGTTGTTTTATTGATGTAAAACGAAAATTAGTTTAGGGGTTTTTGTTCCTTTGTTGTTTTCCACTATTTTCTGTTATTTTTAATACATAAATTACACATTTTTATGCTAAGAAAAATCGCGACCAATAGCTTAAAAAACTATTTTTTAAACTTTCATAAACTATTAAAAATTGCTCAAAAATCTACTGTTTTTAAAATGGATTAGATTAAAATCTTGGTAGGTTGTTGTTTTTGAGTTGTTTGTGATGAAAAAAGTTAAAAAATATGTTGTTTTTGAGCTTTGATTAGGGGTGTAAATGGGCCAAGCTGGACTGGATTTTGGCCTTCATGGCCTAAGCCTACGTAAAAAAATATTTAGCCTATCTGGCCTATTGACCTACTAAAGACTTTATTTATAGGCCCAGCCTGACATATTTTTAAAAATTAGAGAGCCTTATATGGCCTATAGGCGTTGTAAGCCTCCATAGTGGAATATTTTTAAAAAAATTTAAAAATATTTTTAATAATTTTTAAAATATTCCCTTGACATTACAAGTCATTAACATGTTCATAAATTGTTGAATTTTTTTACACGAGATATAAATTTCACTAGTGAGCATTAAAAATTTTACAATAGTATAAAAAATAACTATAAAAATATACTGAGCAAAGTTCCATTCATGCATGCACTAGTACTTTTCATAATTCATAAAAAATGACAAAGAAGAAAGTGTTAACATAATACCCCAGCTCTATAATGTATATCATATACCCTAAAATAAATATATTATATTATTTTATTTAAAAAAATTAAATAGGTCAGCCTACAAGGCTTTAGGCCAGGCTTGACAAAATTGGCTCATGGCCTACTTGATAAAAGGCTTTCTTATGAGCCTAAGCCTACTCTACTTTTCAACATAGGCCGAGCTAGGCCAAGCTCAATGTAGACCGGGTTGTAGGCTAGGCCAAGACAGCCTGACCCATTTACACCCCTAGCTTTGATGAAGATCCCATGGCGGAACACGATTTCGAGAAGGTCGAAACGCCAAAAGAAGAAGAAGACACTGACATGGTTGTTAAAATCTCGATTTATCACTATGATTTTATGTTTTTTTTTTCATCAAAACGATTTTACCAATATTTCAAACGTTTTTACGATTTTTTTATATTATGATTTTACGTTTTACAATTTTTTAGTCCCCTTTCGATTTTACTTAAAATCTTGATTTTAACAACATTCACACTGCAATAGAGAAATCTCAAAAAATCCTAGAAATTGGGGTGAGATTGCGAGAGAAACATCCTATTTATATTATTTTTTAATATCCATTAAAATGATTAGAATTTGAATACCACAATATTATTTTTCCTTTGTTTAAAATTTAAAATGTTGATTGAATACCAATGAATTTAGACGGACTCAAAAATAATCTTTTAAAATCCTAATCGAATATCACATGATTTTTTTTTCAATTATTTAAAATTCTAATTGAATACCAATTGATTTTTTTGTCCAAAAATAATCCATTAAAATTCTTTGAAATCCCAATCTAATACAATCCGTAATACTTTCGAGATGAGAAATCACATTAAGTAGCTAAATCTCTCCAACTAAACATTTTCCATACATACATATGGCCATAGATCGAATTCGTATATAATTAAGATATAGGATTTAATTAAATTATATAGATGCACATTTCTCTCTCCTATATAAAAGCAAGTTGATAAGAGGGTCATGTAAAAATTTTTGTGTCAATTTCTCTCTTTACATACATTAAATCTGTGAGATCTAATCAACATTAATGAAGAGAGACACATATAAAAAAAAAGTTCATGTGAAATTTTAATACGAGAAGATACAAAAATTTGATAAATGTTATTACAAGCACTTAAATAAATATATTTTTAATAGAAGTATGAGATATATTTACATATTTGACATATTTAAACTTTATTTTCTTCACCAAATAATTTTTAACTTTATTTTCTTATTTTTTTTTTTTTTGATAACAATTTTCTTATTTTTTTTAACATGCTCTTAAAAATATCCTCTTTCGTCGTCAGAAGAGTCATCTTCTTGGCATAAGTCTATTTGTTAAAATAAGTTTAACTTTTTTTAAAAATAAATAAATAATAAAAATATATTTATTTTTGTTTAAATTAATATATATGGTAATTCTAATATCACTTTATTAAATCAACTTTTCCATCGTCCCGGGTTGCGAGTTAGAGAGTGCCACACAACAGTGAAGATAACATAGAATAATAAATTAATTAATTATTATTAAATAATTATAATAAAAAGAAGGCGATCCTCTTATGTCACTGTAGAAAGTCCAAATAGAACCAGGCAAAGACATTCTCTACTTAACCAGCTGCGTTTGGTTCAGATGTCCCTCAATCACCTTCAACCCCGTGTTGTTGTCGTTTACCCCATTAATTACTTTAATTTCAACGAGGAACGGTTTAAACCAAAACCCCACAACCCAACTAACTCATCCTTCCGACGTAAACGACAATAGAAAATTTTAACTTACCACACAGAAAAGAAAAGAAAAGTAAAGAAAAGAAAAAAAATTCTCAGCAACCAAACAGATCTCTCTCTTTTTCTGTTCTCCTCTTCTCGCCGGCGATAACTGCTCGAATGGCTCCGATTCCGTCGGAGAACGGCGTCGAAGGAGATGATGAGAAAGAAGAAGAAGAAGAAGAAGAAGAGGAGGAGCCGAGGCTCAAGTACCAGAGAATGGGAGGCAGCATACCTTTGTTGCTAGCGAGTGATGAAGCGTCTTGCATCGCGGTTGCAGAACGGATGATCGCCGTCGGCACACACGACGGCGTCGTGTATATCCTTGATTTTCTCGGGAATCAGGTCAGCTACCGTTCTCTCCATTCCTTATCTAATTTCACAGTGAGGAATGATTCTTCTGCATCAATTTCAGTTTGGTTTTGCGTATGCTCGTGTGAAATTTTGAGCTATCGTTGCTTCAAAATGGAGCTGGCTAGTTCGTTTTACTTTGTCTCAAGACGTTGGCGTATGCAGTGTTATAGATGATTGCTTTTAGTTGTTCATATGTCACAGCTCATAATCAGCGTGACAGTGTTTTATTTATTTATTTTAAGAAACTTTGTTTTACCGAGTCATGTCATTCCAGGTGAAAGAATTCTCTGCTCATTCTGCTGTTGTTAACGACCTTAGCTTTGATATGGAAGGTGAATATATTGGAAGCTGTTCTGATGATGGATCCGTTGTAATAAGCAGCCTTTTTTCTGATGAGAAAATGAAATTTGAGTATCATCGCCCTATGAAGGCGATTTCTTTGGACCCGGATTATGCAAGAAACACGTCTAGGAGACTTGTTGCTGGCGGTTTAACAGGGAATTTATATTTGAATTCAAAGAAATGGTTAGGCTATCGTGACCAGGTTTGTCAGATTCTTCTAATACTTAAAGCCGTAAATTCTTAGTTGTTCACCTTGTGTATTATTTTAACTATAAAAATATCCCATGAAAAAAAAAAAAAAAAAAGGTTTTGCACTCTGGTGAAGGTCCAATACATGCAGTGAAGTGGAGAACACGTCTTGTTGCTTGGGCAAATGATGCAGGAGTGAAGGTTTATGATACCATCAATGACCAGCGTATAACATTTATTGAAAGGCCACGGGGTAGCCCATGGCCCAAGCTTTTGCTTCCTCACCTGGTTTGGCAGGTTATTGAAATATCTATGTCGTCTTGCTATTTGGTTGTGTCATTACAAGAAACAGTGTCCGCTACTATAATTGAATTGAAGGCTTTTGTTTTGTTCTTTAAACTGCTGCAATGGTGTCTTATTTGTCTGTCATATTATTTCTTGGTAAGACTGTTGTTGCTTAAGTTTTGTCCTTATTTTACAGGATGACACCCTCTTGGTTATTGGCTGGGGAACATCTGTCAAAATTGTTTCAATAAGGACAAACTGTCATCAAGCAGCCAATGGGACATACAGGCAAGTTCCTTTGTCTGGTATGACCCAAGTGGATATTGTGGCATCGTTTCAAACGAGCTATTTCATCTCAGGAATTGCCCCCTTTGGTGATGCTTTGGTTGTTCTAGCTTACATTCCTGGAGAAGAAGATGGAGAAAAGGATTTTAGTAGCACTGCTCCTTCACGGCAGGTATTTATATTCCTTGCATATGATATGAAATGAAATTATTTGACTTTTCATTCTGATCTGGCACCTATGATACTCTTTCCCACATCTTCCTATTTTTAAGCACAACTAGATTTCTTAGTTCATTTTCACATTCACTTAAATAAAGGGCTGCCTCCAAGCATTTTAATTTACGGTTGTCATAGCCTGATCCTTAATACTGGGACGTATTGGACATTTGGAATTTTAATTTTTGTGAAGTATAATTTTTAGATTGCTTCATATTGTAGAGAAAGCAGTATCAAACCAACGTCACTAGGCTTCCTAGAAACTAGTCATTTTAATACTTGTTGCTATTACATTATTTAGTGTGATATGTCTCATGGAGGTTATATATCATCTATGCATTTTTTGATATGCTCCTTGCTAGCATCGGTTGTATAAGACTTAAAAGAATGTTTAACACTAATTGTATGTGTCAATTGCTCTTCAATGTGGAAGCAATTTTATGCTTATGAATCATGAAAGGCAAGAGAAGTAAAGAAACATTTGCATCATCCTCTTCGTTGCCCATAAAAGATTGATTTGTTCTTAATGTAAGTAAATGTAATTTTGAAAAGGGTAATGGGCAAAGACCAGAAGTACGCATAGTAACATGGAACAATGATGAACTTTCGACAGATGCTCTACCATTACATGGATTTGAGCATTACATGGCAAAGGACTATTCCCTTGCTCATGCTCCCTTCTCAGGTTAACATCTGTTTAGTTTTGTTTATGATTTATGTCGTGTTATGAAATGGTTCTGCATGATTACAGTTGCTTTGCTTGTTCACCCAAATGTAGGTAGCAGTTATGCCGGTGGTCAGTGGGCTGCAGGCGACGAACCGCTTTACTATATTGTATCCCCAAAGGACGTAATTATTGCAAAGCCAAGGTTAATGTCAACTTCTTGATCCTGTTGTATTGTCCTAAGTGATTGATTCATTTGTGTTGACTTATCACCAGAAAAGATAAAAGGAAGAAAAGAAGGACACTATGTTCTTTATGACCTTATCCTACTATACCTGAAATGCCTTGTTTTTTTTTTTTTTTTTTTTGGGTTACCAAAAGTTCAGAATAGATGGGAAGGCATGCCCCCTTGCAAGGCCAGTTAAGATATAGTCTATATGTATAAGTTTGGGAATTAGTTTTCTAGTGATTCAATTCCTTATTTACATAATCTTCAATGATTTTATAGTATATACATGATATCCTTCTGTAATCATTTATGATACTCTAACATATTACATATTCTGTCAAGATATTGTAGCAATTCTAACAATTATATTTAGATTTATATATATTTCATGGTGTGCCCTTGACTTGCCACTTGCCAACTGACTGATTGGCATGGAAAAATGTTATGGTGCTGTGTATAGGTTTGGATGTTCAATGTTGTCCACTTTATCAGTGATTGTGCTATTCCTGTGTTATTCTATTTCGTATATCATAGAATGATAATCTAAGGAGCGGTTATTTGTTACTCGTTTCAGTCAAGAAAATCCAGATGCCTCTAAGTGACTATAGAATAAGTGCAATGCTTTCCTCTATGCAGAGATCCTTCAACATTTGTCATATTCCCTTTGGCACGAAACCAATCTAACCTCCATTGTCCCAAAGGGACTAGAAAAATTAAATCAAAACAAATGAAGGCTGTTGTTTACCTGATGCTTTATGCTCAAAAGAGTTGATTAATTTTTTTTAATATATCTAAAATATTATGCTATTTTTATAAATTGGTATACAAATTTGAAAAAAAATAAAATAAAAAATATGGATAGAAATTAATGTATTTTAATAATCAGGGATGCTGAAGATCATATTGCTTGGCTTCTTCAACATGGATGGCATGAAAAAGCTTTGGCTGTGGTGGAATCTGGTCAAGGACGAAGTGAACTACTTGATGAGGTATTTAAGTTTATCTTAATTCAATATGTTTTATACTTTCTTTTAATGCTTATTAGGGTTAGACGTGTAAGCTTGTACAAAAAAAAAAGGTGTGTAGCACATAACAGTGGAATAAGGTTATGCATGTATGCTTATGGAGGCAATTGATTATGTGTATGTGAAGTATGGGATTGCGTGTGCGTGAAGTTTCCTCAAGCATTTTGGTTATTAAGTAATTTGTCATCATTTATTTTGCTATCAATAGCGCTGTATAGAATTTGACACAAGATGCAAGTTCAAAGGGAAATGAAATGAAACCTTCAATTTTATCTACTTGTGAAGTATGATTTCATTATATCTTAATCCCCCGTCCCTACATTTATAGAGAAACTTGAAATTGATTTGATCAGATTTTAAGCATGATTCCTCCTTGAGATTTTATACTTATTTAGTCATCATTACTATATTTTGCATGTTATATATGTATCTATGAATTCTTTTGGTAAATTTGTTCATTTGAGCGTATCTGAGATTCATCTTTGCAGGTGGGATCTAGGTACCTTGATCATCTGATAGTGGAAAGAAAATATACTGAAGCCGCTTCTTTGTGTCCCAAGTTGCTTCAAGGATCAGCCTCAGCATGGGAGAGGTACCAGTACCACATACCATTAGTTGTTAGTCTGTTTTACAGTTCTTGTTTGGTAATTGAGTGTCAACGTATTGCTTTTCAACAGATGGGTTTTCCACTTTGCACACCTTCGTCAACTCCCTGTTTTGGTTCCTTACATGCCTACAGAAAACCCTAGATTGTGTGATACTGCTTATGAGGTTAGCTAAAGCATAAAACAACAGTCTCTGTTACAAGTAATGTGTTTGCATAGTATCTGTAATCAATTGACTTGGGATTTATTCTGCTTTTGATTCAATAGGTTGCTCTTGTTGCACTGGCCACAAATCCATCCTTTCATAAGGATCTCTTGTCCACTGTTAAATCCTGGCCTAAAGTAATTTATTCTGCATTGCCTGTTATTTCAGCTATTGAAGCTCAGTTTGATACTTCATCCGTGACTGATCCACTCAAGGAGGTTAGTCTGACTAATTATATTTACATTTTCAATCTCTTAACAACCTGTTTACGTTAACATGTTCCTTTTTATGTCAGGCTTTAGCAGAGCTGTATGTAATTGATGAGCAACATGGGAAAGCTTTCTCGTTGTATGCTGATGTAGGTGGTCTTAATTAATTTTTCTTGTTTTCAGGAAGCAATTACATTGATTGAATGTCATACAAATGCTTTGATAGTAGAGTCTTTTTTTTGTTTTGACTTCTAATTTACTTATTCCACCTTATTCTGTTGAAACTTTCAGCTTATGAAACCAGAAGTATTTGACTTCATTGATAAACATAACCTACATGATTCAGTTCGTGAAAAGGTATAAATGTAATTTGTAGAAGTTGAATTTATCTTGGAATTCTATATTTTCTAAACAGTTTTACAGTGTCAGCTGATATGCAAAACATATTTCATATGCACCTGCTGAATCTTTTTACATGTATTGGTGTAGTATATTAGGATCTGGTTATTCATGCTCTCAGTCTCACATCTCTTATATGCTGTTTGGAGCATGAAATTGAGCTCGGAATTGGAATTGGACCTATCAATTCTAATTATCTTGTATTGTGTACATTAGAATGAAATTCCAATTCTATGGAATTCAAATATAACTATTTTATACTATTTTCTATTCTTAGCCTACACCTTAAGAATTAAATTCTAATCACAAAAGTTTAAAATTATTGTTTATTATCTTTGTTGCATGTGTACCCGAGCAACCATTGCTGATGGCATACACTTGCAACTATTGGCCATGTTGTGCGCACCAACGGCATACTCTGGTGTTTGTCATCACCGGCATCCCCTGAATCACCATTGTCACTGACATCCTTCAATCACCATCGCTGTCTTTTGATCCCTAGCATTGCTTGTGTCCTATAATCACAATCGTGTCATAGGTGTCCTTTAATCACCGATAATCATTGTTGCCAACATTTTTTTTTGCATCCATGATCACCGGTGACGTATTCGTATAACCTTAGACGTAATCCAACAATGCAAGCTCTATTGAAAATTATATTTATATGTAATATTTGAAAATTGTATTATTTATTAACTTAAATTTAATTGTGATATTCTTGATATTATGTTCAAACAATAGAATTCTAATTCAATTAGAATTGCAATTCTATATCTCATTTATTTGTTTCAAACATAAAAATTAATATTCTTAGTCTATTAATTCTAAATTACAATTCTATTTCTATCATCTTAGCGGATCCTTAGATTTATTGAATGCATAGAAAATTGGATGAACCAACAAAGTCCCATCCCAGGTATTTGGAATTGGGTGATTAAGATTTGAATGTTCTCAGACTTATTTGAAGAGGAGAAAAAATTATTGAATTTTCTTCATGTTCTGTTTGTACTTGTAACCATTATCTTAGAAAACCAATAATTTTGGGGAGAAGGGAAAATAGAGATGTGACACAAAGGATGATCATAATATTTTATTAATTACTCAAGATGGTTGTGATACATAAGCTGATCCTATCCTATACCTCTATTTATTTATGCTATGACTACAAAGTGACACTTACACCCTTTATACTGGGTGCATTATAAGTAACTAATTACTTAAATCCAAAGTCCTTTCCTTTTTACCGTACTATTCCATAACACTCCTCAAGCTACTATGCTTTCAGCTTCTTAAAAAAAAACCGGTTAAAATAAAACAAAGAACATAAATCTGATCCCATCAACCAAAGAACTTAAAGCTGACCATATATCTTTATTTATACTAAACTACAACTATGAAATATACTTATAACCTTTACTTTGGGTGCTTAATGTGTAACTAATTGTTTGATACCGAAAGCACTATTGTTAAAAATATACTGTATCCTTAAAAATTTGTTTATATGATCACTGGAAAATTTGTCTAACCTGTGCCTGTTCAGGTTGTCCAACTGATGATGCTTGATTGCAAACAAGCCATTCCTCTCTTAATACAAAACAAGGACTTAATAACTCCACATGAAGTTGTGAAGCAACTTCTAGATGTTGATAATAAGTGTGACTGCAGATATTTCTTACATTTATATCTCCATTCATTATTTGAAGTAAATCCACATGCTGGGAAGGACTTTCATGATATGCAGGTAGGCTTTGTTTCTTTCATTTAACCTTTTCAAGTTCCCTTTGTGTTAGGTTCTTAGGTGTAATTCAATGCAGCATTTATATTTTGAATTGATGAAAGCCATGTCTTTGCCATTATGAGTTCGACCCAAAGTAATTGCTGCCTTGTTTATTTCTGATAGAAAATAAAAGACAATCCTTGGTAAGGAACAACTCTGGGTTTTATTATGTTTTAATACAAAACGACATAAAACACTTAAAAGACAATACGAATGTTTGATCAGTTCTGATCCAATTCAGATTCAATCTGGTTTACTAGCAGTTGTTAGCTATTGCTGCCAATTTCTGTTTGCAACCTGCAGACTGATGGCCTTTCTTTAGTGATGCATTTCTTTGTTGTGGTCCAGCTGCATCATTATCCATTGCGGCCTTTAATACCATATTAGTGCTCAGTTCTTTACTCTTCCATTTTTGTTTTTTGTCTGGTTATTACAATATATGTCTTCTGAAGCTAAACATGAATAATGGTTTGCATGTGCTGCCTGTGATGAAATGCCTTTTTTAGCTAATATGATTTTGTCTATTGCATAGGTAGAACTCTATGCAGAGTATGATCCAAAGATGCTGCTACCTTTTCTTCGAAGCAGTCAACACTATACCCTTGAGAAGGTTTGGGATCTACCAATGACTTTGACAGCTATATATTTGCATGCCTGTGAACCAAATTCTCCAAATTGTTTTTCAGGCTTATGAAATTCTCATTAGGAGAGACCTAATGAGAGAGCAAGTCTTCATCCTTGGAAGGATGGGAAACTCAAAACAAGCCCTAGCTGTTATTATAAATATATTAGGGGATATAGAGGAGGTATTTCATCTTTTTCAATTAGAAGTAGTTTTTGGTGTCAACCGACATGCAAATCTTGAATCAGAATTTCAGCCAATTATATGCTGAGTTTGAAGTGTTCATAATTTTTTGTAGGCTGTAGAGTTTGTCACCATGCAGCATGATGATGAACTCTGGGAAGAACTAATCAAGCAATGCCTTCACAAACCTGAAATGGTAAATCTTGATAACTAATTGTATGTTTAATATTTGGGCCTGTTTGATTACATAGGTTTTTGTTTTTTTGAAAAAGAGAAATGTTTGGGAGTTGGTTCCTATTCCATATTTTAAAGACTAGTAAGAGATCTATAAACGGAAAACCTGGAACATCTTTTGGATATATATATATATATATATATATATATATATATATATATATATTTCCAAAAATGTGGTGGCAATTATTGTAAATACCTACATCATTTTGAGTAGTCTCATCTCTTCCTGTGTTTTTTTACCTTCATTTCCAGTGTCTCTCTGGGCTGCTTATTTTTTAACTTCCATCACCGGGCCACATATCTATGCTGTCTCTGTCATGTCAAGGCTTGCTTGCTACTTCAGCACCATAATGTCTGAAGGCTGAACTTCTCCATTTTCTCTGTCTCATGTGTCTAATGCATGTTACTGTCCGTGAGGACAATGACATGCCAGCACCCCTCCTCCTTTCATTTTGAAGGTGCTGCCAGATGAAATGTGTTCACAATTAGAGATGATCGCATTGTGCGTCTACAATGAAATATTTTTTGCCATTGTATGCCTTTCTAGGTGCCCTCCTTCTAACACCAACACCTGGTAGGAAAAGGCTTTGGTTGTTGTCTAATGCCTTTCCAGATGGATTAGACGTGCCATCATTGTAAAAGTCATTTTTTAAGGAAAAAAAGGATAAATCTTACTCGGGAACAAATATTCCAAATAGATTTTTAATTGTTTTTCTTAGAATATTTAGGGAATATATCATAATATTACTATTTTATCCTAGAATATCATAAAATATCTTAGATGATCTTTTAGGAGTGGTTTCCATAATTTCATTATATTTCATGATATGTTTCCTTATTTAATTAGGATCTACAATTATTATAAATAGGGGTTATTGTTTTGTCTTTTGTAACACATCCTTCATGTCTCATCAATATTAATTTCAGATTATTGAGTTTTTATTCACTCTTTTCTTCTTCCCCTCTTAAATTCCTATCATTTCAACAGTTTTTTTATTTTATTTTGAAAGTTGTCCCTAATATGTTACAATTTTTTTTTTCATTGATAGAATTTACAAATTTGTTTGAGAAACCAAAAAAAGTGAAACAGAAACAAATTTGCCCGGTATTCGCTTATTTTGTGTCCCTGCTCTTTCTCAACTTTGTTCCACGATTAATTATTGTAATTGACAGGTGGGCATACTGTTGGAGCACACAGTTGGAAACCTTGATCCCCTCTACATTGTAAGTAAGGTTCCCAACGGGATGGAAATACCTCGGTAAGTAATAAATATGACTTAACAGAGATTACAGTATAGTATCTAATCATAAAACGTATGTAAGGAAAAAAAATATTAGTATTTGCCTATTTGGGTTGTAGATCGCATTAAGTAGGAGATGCCTATCTATCCAGTGCCGGACTGCCGGTTATGCATTTGCAAGTTGTTCACCATGTTTTGAATTTTAACTGATTGCTCTGATAGTTTGATTATTCTGGCTTCCCAATTCCAGCTATATTCTGTAATAAGTAGCATTTGTTTCCCACTGTGTGTAATTTCTCTATCTGCTTTTCTACAGTCTCAGGGATCGGCTGGTTAAAATTATCACTGATTACAGGACTGAAACATCTCTCAGACATGGATGCAATGATATCCTGAAGGTGCTTTTCTTTACCATCCCTTCCTTAATTTTAATCTCATTAATTTGATACAGTAAGATATCTTGCTGATTGGCTTTCATTAAAATAGGCGGACTGTGTCAACCTATTAATTAAGTATTACAAAGAGGCAAAGCATGGGATTTATCTAAGTAATCAAGGAGACGAGCCACAAGCTAAAAGAAATGATATTAATGCTTCTCATGTGTTTGAGAAATCCCCGAGTCTGAGAACCATGGAAGTGAAGTCAAAGACTAGGGCGGGTGGAAGATGTTGTATATGTTTTGACCCCTTTTCTATACAGAATGTATCAGTCATTGTTTTCTTTTGCTGTCATGCTTATCACACAACTTGTCTTATTGATTCCTCCTATACTAGTAGTAGCAAGAAAGAGATTGAAGCTACTTCCCAAGAGGCAGAAATGTATGATGTTTACAATGATTATGTGGATGATAATGGGAATGACGATGGAGAGACACAGGTGGGTGGCACTCGTATGCGTTGTATATTGTGTACTACTGCTGCTAGTTGAGTGTGTTCTGTTGGTGCATGTCTGTGTCTGCCGCTTGTGCTTGCTTGGTTAATATTTTTGTTCGTGGTTGCATGCACATGGTACATGTGTGGCTTCCCCTCTTCGTGGCCCTTCAATTTGATGTCAATTTGTTTATCAATATAGTTATAGTTTTATTTAAATTTTTACGTTGTCTTGATGGCTTTAGTATATTCTTTAGAATCAAGTTTTCCTTGAATACCAGGTTCCTTTAGATATGTTTTCCAACTGGTTGTCTATTCATTTGTATAGGGAGAACTAGTGGACGTAGAAGTGAAATCTATTGCAATGAATCTAAGGACTTTGTATTTAACTAGGTTGGAGTTTTTAAGGAAAAGGGAGAGTTACTTCATATTATGTAATTTTTGAAGACGTACAGAAAGTAGAGTCATGGCAAGTAATCTAGAAGCAGAAGGTTGACACTACAATCGTATTCTTCGCATTAATTCTTTTTTTTTTGGTAAACCGCATTAATTCTTTTATGTTAAGTATTGTTGGGTGAAACATGTATATTTATCCAAAAAAGCAAGATAATCTTGCGGTAATTTTTTTAGTAGTCTAGATTATAGACACACCTTGCGTATAGTTTTTAGTTTACAGATATATTTTTCCTTATACAAAAGGATGGTGCAGAACACTATCTTTTTGGATCGAAACACAAAGCACATAAAATTCACGGATGATCTTACAATGCTCCGTGAGAAATTCCATGCACCTTGTACTTTGCCCGCTATTAGAAGGAAATTTGCTTTTCAACAAGATTCGTATTAACCAAAGAAAATTAGCTCAAGTGGTATATATTTAATTTCACTTAAACAAAGTCTTAAATTCAAGTCATGTGAATATATAAAATTTTATTTGAGAGAGACAGCCCATCATATATATATATATATATATATATATATATATATATATATATATATATATATATATATATATATATATATATATATATATATAGGCAAAAGTATTTCTACAGCAACTTTAGATAACAGCTGTTATTTTTAACTATATTCTTCCGGGAGAATATAGTTATAACGTTAAAGTTGCTCTTTTTTCTCTCTCCTCATTTACTTTTCAGAACTTTTTTGCTGACGTGGAGAGAGAGAAAAGAGCAACTTTAACGTTATAATTATATTCTCCCTGGAGAATATAGTTAAAAATGACAGCTGTAGATAAGCTTATCTAAAGTTGTTATAGAAATGTTTACCCCATATATATATATATATATATATATATATATATATATATATATATATATATATATATATATATATAGGGTCAGGATCATTTTACACCAGTGTAAGTTACACTCTCAATCTTGTCCATTGATCCCACTTATATCTAAGGGTTAAATTTTTTTAGTAATGTGAGCCATTGAATACAAGTAAATCAATGGTCAAGATTGAGTGTAAGACTTCTAACTCTTACACTGGTGTAAGAATATCCTGCCTCATATATATATATATATATATATATATATATATATATATATATATAAACGTATTTCTACGTCCACCTAAGAGAAGGTTGTCTATAGCTATTCCATTTTAACTAAGTTTGACCAATAAGACATAATTATAACAATAAAATTGTTCTTTTTTTTTTTCTTTCTCCTCAGACATTATCGGTTGACATGGTGGAGAGAGAAAATGCAATTTTGATGTCTTACTGATCAGACTTAGTTGAAAAAGATAGCTGTAGACAATCTTATATTATCTAAAGTGGTCGTAGAAATATTTATATATATATATATATATATATATATATATATGTATATTAATGCCACGCTTATGAATGGTTGCAACTTACAATATACAATATAAGGTGCATCCATGCACCTTAACATCAAGATGGAGCCAAAATTCACCCCCTCCACCTACTCAGCTACAAATTATACTTCTTGTCCATTCTTAAAACTGGGATTAGTATTTAGAAGCCATATTTTTTAATTCATTATAACACACTACCTTCCAAATTGAGACTTGAAAGGCTTTTTCCATGAAAGCAAATGTGAAATTTTCTCCAAATCTGAAACTCTAATCTCACAAGTCTTACTTCTGAACGGACCATTTCTAACTTTCATTATCACGGGCATGCTCCAAAGAGATTGCACGCGTAGCAAAAAGATTCGTTAGCATGATGTGTACAGCTATTTGAAGCTTCTCCAGTCTTTTTGGTAGCGGGTTTGGGTGAAGCTTCGGGGTATTTTTAGAAACAAATTATTCAAATGAGGTCATTAAAAAATTATTTATTAGTTTAGAATGGTTTTGGCAAGGTGAGAATTATTTTATTTTTTATTACATGCCACATAACGTTACTTCATTTAGCGTCATAATGTGATGTCAAGTCAAGACTTAATAGAATTACTGTCACTTAAAAATGTGACATAAAAAAGGTGGTTGTCAAGTAGTGAAAACCATCTTGAATTAGTAAATAGTTTCATAATTATTCCATTTTGATAATTTATTTAAGAAAAACTCTATTTGGTTAAAAAGCAAATTTCAAAGAACACATCCTTTTGGAATAGGATTTTTCATAACGTGTCACTGCAAGATATATGATTGCTAAGCAACTTACAAATGCGTAACATTTCAGAAAAGTAGCAATAGAATAAAGTAGAACTCCGAGTACCGAGTTGTGGTGTTCTTTGCAATGACTTTTTGTATGCAACTTTTTCTACCCCACTTCTTAAATGATGATAATGATCCTGATGGTGATGGTCATCTCTCATCGTTTTTGGTTGTCATAATTCAGGGAATAATTTGAGTATACAAAATGGGAATAGATTAAAATTTCACATGTGAAATTTTTGTATTAATCTTTCTCTTTACATATATTAAATGAGTTTTAGAACGACGTCGTTTTAGAACGAAAATTATGATATTTTTGTAATTTTAATTTATTTCAGGATTATAATAGTCTTTATCATTCTAATTTTTTAATTTTTCAACCCAAAACGACGTCGTTTTGATAAACATTAAACAAAATTATCTAAAATAACATTATATACTTTTTCCCCATATTAAATAGGTATATTAAATAGGTGAGATTTAATTATCATTAATAAAGACACAAATTTTAAATAACCAAATTATGTGAAATTTTAACATCACATGATCCATCCGGATACAAGATAATAATATCCTTTGCAACCATTCACATCACACAAAATTTTGAATTGTTGCACGATCCCAATCAAAGTTTAAGGCAAAGAAATACCCACGAAGATTCTAATCACAGATACGAAATCACTAAATAAAGTACAAATTGCTATAAAATTGTAAAAAGAATAACTATCTTATAAATTTTTAAACCCATAAATAAAATACTAAATTTGTGTCATAACTTAAGTCTGTTAGTATATTAACGCTAATTGGAAGGATATACTAATTAATAACAATTATAGTTACCTTCGACAAAAAATAATAAAAAGAAGAGAGAGAAAATTTATGGAACCTACTCACTTTTGACAGGGAAATTTTTTTTTACAGCAGAAATGTTATTTCCTTTATTTATATGATATATTACCCTTCATTAAAATGTTTATTTCATATATATTTACAAAATAAAAAATAATTATATACTATATAATAATAATAATAATAAAAATAATAAAATATATAATGATTTAAAATGGAGGAAATACATTTGAGTGAACGAGATAATAATATCATTCTGAAGCAGTCATGGCCTGAACACCACATGAAATTCCGAGGCAAAAAGAAACACTCATGGAGCACAATCCGAACATCCCATTTGTACAAGGGACAATAATTTCTCTGGGAGAAATTATTATCTTCCTGAATAATCAAGAGAGAGAAAAATGAAAGAGGTGAGAGAAATAAAAAATGACATAGGGTCCATCATTTGATGTCTCTCTCAGAAGATCCCTCTGTGTAATAATGGAACCATATATTACATTTACAGTGTTTATCCTTTTAAATGACATAATTTATGTTATTTTACTCTTACAAAGAGATGAGATTCATATCTTTACCTTTTTTTGTCAACTATCTTTCCTTCTTTATCTATCTCTTTCCTTATCTTAAAATGACATAACTTTACCTTCTTTGAAATGACACATACTTTTCTCATCTTTAAAATGACTGTTTTTAATATATTTCAGTCCTTACAAAATAAATAGACAAAATGATAAAATAATTATATATATAATAATAGTAATAATAATTTAGTAATTATAGCATTGAATTAATATTTATTTTAGTATTTCTATTTTTTATTTCATTTCTATTATCCTTTAATTAGTATTGATATAAATATTTAGTAATTTATAAAAAATATTGGTATTATTTATTTTAATTAGTATATATATACAAACTTATGAAGTTATATATATATATATATATATATATATAACGTCATAAGTTTGTAGTGAGTTAACGGGTACTAAACGGAAAGACCAATTTGTGAAATAGTTATAATTCAGAGCAGGGGTGTTAATGGGTCGAGCCGAGCTGAGCTTTGGTCTTAAAAGGCTAAATCTGTGTTTAAATATGTCAGCCTGAACAAGCCTGTTACCTGTCATAAATATAATTATTGGCCTATGGCCTAGCTTATTTACAAAAAATAAAAGTTTGATTTAGCATGTTAGTCTGTTTAAAAAAAATAAGATAACAAAAATTTATCCAAACTGAATATTCATCAACAACATTAGTAATTCTATAAATATTCATAAATTCAATGTATATCCAAACAGCATAATATAGAACAAAATCATTCAAAAAGTCTGTTTAACCAATAAATTGGGGTGGAATGGATTGAAGAGAAAGAGAGGGCTATTATAAGTAGTATAAAAAATATAAATAATAATAATAATAATATACTAGGTCAGCCTGTGAGGCTCTAAGGCCGAGTTTTTCAATTGGAGCATGAGACCTTTTTATTAAACAAGTTTTTATACAAGTTCAAGACTGGTGCTAACAACTAATTTTAGACATGTAAGTTAAGGCCTTCACGAGTCGAGCCAAAGGCTCCTGGTTCGTTTAACATCCCTAATTCAGAGACTATATAAAATAGGAGAATGATCTGTTTACAATTTTTTTTTTACAAATTACACTATGTAATCCCAGAAGTATATAGTGTAACCTAATGTATTTCTAGGAATACATAATGTAGTTTGTAAATAAAAAATTTATAAATATAATCCTCCTTTATAAAATATGGGAAAAGTTATATTTATAAACTTTTATTTACAAATTTTTACAAATTATATTAACTATTACCGATAAGACATAATATAATTTATAAATTTATAATTTTTTTTTTGTCAATATAACATTTCTCATAAAAAATTTGAAGTTCATTGTGCTAATTTGTAAAAGATCAAAGTTGAAGATGGTTGTATACAATTCCCCTTTCCCCCACCCACCCCTAATTATTGCTCTATATTCAAGTAAAACTCGGAATTGAGACGCGTTTTGCAAAGACTTTATCTATTCCACGAGATTATTTAGAGTCAATCGGGACCACCATTTTTTAGGTGGTCCTTAAATATATATGAGGGTAAAATTAAAAAAGAGAGAAAATAACAGGGACAAAAAGAGAAAAAAAAAATTAATAATGTGAGAGAGAGTACCAAAAGATTCAGTGATTCTGGACCATATTAAATATTTTCCTATTCCACAAACACATCTAAATAATGCTAATGATGGTGGATTGGTGGGAGAATAAATTTGAATACACGGAACAACAATATCTTTTTGACGCATTCATCATGGTCAGAAGTCAGAACACCATAAAAAAGCAAAAAAGTTTCGCTATGCGAAATCAAAGTTTAAGGCAAAGAAAAACTTACAAATATTCAACCAGTGTGCTTTAACCACACGTACAAATCCACGATATAAACTAAAAACTGCTATAAAATTTGGTAAAAATATTTTTTCTATAATAAGATATAAAATTATCTTCAGCAACATAAAAGTAATATCGTTTCGGGATTTAAGAAAAAGAAAAAGGATATTTTAAAATTTTCATTTTTTCTTTATATCATAAATTTTATTAAAATATTCTGATTTTTTTTCTAGGAGATAACTTTGTCTACAAGAAAAACGTTAATCCCATTTATTTCAACCTCATTCTTTTTAAGCAAAACCTTTATAGCAAACTAATAAAAGTTTCTCTTTAAGTGTGAGACATCCTAAGCTACCTGATAATACCTTAATAAGGTATAAGATATATTAAAGGGTAATAATATAACCATCTTATAATTAATGTGATAACGATTGGCCCACTATGTTTAAGCAAGTGTATCCAATATTCAGATTAGTTTGTCAAAAATAGCCTTCAATATTAGGAGTATGATTTTCAATCAATCAATTTCGGTCTAGTCACTTTTGTCATTATTCATGTGGAGGAAGTACATGGCTTATAAGAGATCGTTAGTTGTTTCAAATTTTTACTTGTTTTGTCTATTTGTGTAAGATGCATCTATATTTAACATGCTCTCCAAATGGATGATGATAGTTCAATGTTCAAACCTCAAAACAAAAACCAGAATAAACATGATTTTTAAATTACGATTACGATAACAATTGCTTTGTAATTGCCGAAATTTTGCCTGGCAATTACCGAAATTGTGAAATATTGCGGACAAATGTGGCCTGTAATTGTAGTTGTTGCGATGTAGTCACAAAGACTTCCCAAACTACATTATTATAGTCTTAATTGCAGTTACAGACCATAATTTAGAATCATGACATAGCAAAATCATGACATAATATTAATAACTTTGGATTTTTTTTTTATTTCAAAAGTTTTAATTATAATCTGTTTTAAACACAACATAGATTAATCCAAATACATAAAGTCCAATGATAACTTTTTTTAGATGCTTTAAATTTAGAGGAATGTTATATTTACAAACTACATTATATTTTTTTGGTAAGACCTTCTTGAGTGAAATTTTACCGATAAGACATAGTGTAGTTTGTAAGTTTATAAAAAGAAAGTTTGTCAATATAACCCGTCTCTTAAATTTATTATATACTCTTCACGTACATGTTCAAGATTAGAAAACAGGAATAGTGACCATTTTGTCAAGTTTGGCAAAAAAATTTACGACTGCTACGTCAACAGTAAATTTTGCTAAAATACCACGCGGCATATTTCGCTACACTGTGTAGCGAAATATGTTTGCAAGTAATTCGCTACACAGTGTAGCAAAATATGCCATGTCAGGCTGCACAGTCAGCAAAAATGACACGTGTCAAGCAGGCAGAATTCAAGCATAATTCGCTACACAGTGTAGCGAATTTCTGCCTGCTTGAAACGTGTCATTTTTTGCTGATTGTGCATCCTGACATGGCATATTTCGCTACACTGTGTAGCGAATTACTTGCAAACATATTTCGCTACACAGTGTAGCGAAATATGCCGTGTAACATTTTAGCAAAATTTATTGTTGTAAACTTTTTTGTCAAGTATGGCAAAATAGTCACTCTTCCTATAAAACACACATCCATTAGTTTGAATTTTGTACGCCAAAGTGAATATAATCTCATTAAGCCTCACCACATGTTTGCACTCATGAATAAAAACAAAAACACACGCGTTGAAGATCACATCTATATAAGGACATCTTTGATAGATTTACATCAGAAATAGAATAAACCTCAAAGCTATTCTTCTCCTTCATTTGCAATGAAACACCACCCCTTGTCATTCAAATGGCTTCTTTTCATCTTTCTCATATACTCAACCTATCTTAGTACAACACACTCGTTGAGGATTCCAAGGTTGAGCCCAATTGCTGAAAGGGAAACAACCTTACAAGACCCTGCAGTTGCAAGTAACACAGAGGATGTAAAAACATTTTTTTACAAACAGAATCTGGATCACTTCAACTATAGACCTCAAAGCTACAGAAAATTTCAACAAAGATATATGATCAATTTCAAATATTGGGGTGGTGCCAATTCAAGTGCCCCAATATTTGCCTACTTGGGTGCAGAAGAACCAATAGATAATTCCCCTACAGGAATAGGATTTATGACTGATAATGCTGCTTCCTTTAATGCTCTCTTAGTATACATAGAGGTATTGTATTTGTAGAGAACTGCTTTTAATCAAAGGTTTGAGTTTGACAAATTCTGACTCTTACTTTTCTCATCAGCACCGATATTATGGGAAATCAGTACCATTTGGATCAAGGGAAGAAGCATTCAAGAATGCAAGCACTATTGGGTATTTCAACTCAGCACAAGCCATAGCAGATTATGCAGCAGTCCTCGTACATATAAAGAAGACCTTACATGCTCAAAAGTCCCCGGTTATTGTAATTGGAGGATCATATGGTGGAAGTTAGTTTCCTCAAATTAATAGTCTTCATAGTTTTCCACTTATGTACCCTTCAAATTACTACCATTTTTTCCTATATAATTGATATGTCTTTGTTATATGCAGTGCTTGCTTCATGGTTTAGGCTCAAATATCCCCACTTGACAATTGGTGCCCTTGCCTCATCAGCTCCAATCCTTTATTTTGATCATATTACACCACAAAATGGTTACTACTCTGTTGTTTCAAGGGACTTTCGAGTAATTTTACCATATTTTGACTTTTAATACTTTGTTTATTTGTTTTTCATCAAAATTGCATCATAGAAGTGACTTGGTATGCAGGAAGAAAGTGAGACATGCTACCAAACTATACTAAAGTCTTGGTCTGAAATTGAAAGAGTAGCTTCTCAGCCAAATGGTCTTTCCATTCTTAGCCAGAGATTCAACACTTGCCAGTACACACTCTCTTTTGTTTTGTTTTGTAAGGAGTAAGCTTAAAACTCCAATTTACTCATACTTTTCACTTTATGCAGTACCTTAAACGAGTCTTATGAGTTGATAGACTTCCTAGAATCGATGTATGCTTATGCGGCTCAATACAATCAACCACCAAAATATCCAGTTAGTGTGATCTGTGGTGGCATTGATGGAGCTTCTTTTGGAAGTGATATCCTCAGTAAGATATATTCAGGTGTTGTTGCTTATAGGGGAAACAGCACATGCAATTTTAATGGCCCTACTAATGTTTCTGAAACAACTGTGGGTTGGAGATGGCAGGTAATTGCATTTACAAATGCAAGTTTTTTTTTATTTTTATTTTTCATTCATCTAATTTTGTCATGCCATTCTTTCAATCAAATTTAATATGGAGTAAGTACTTTTTTGCTCGTGAGTAAATTTCACGATGCCTCGTTTTAGTCTAGCAAATAAAAAAGCCCGTCGTGGTACATAAGAAATTCATAATGGACTCATTTTAATTCTTTTGAAGGATTAATGAGTTTTTTTGAATTTGTGAGGACCACGGTTTCAACTAAATAGATTTATTTTAAATTTCTTAGGGACCACGATAGACCTTTTCATTTACTAGGGACTAAAGTGAGAGTATCGTGAAATTTGTTAAGGACCAAAAATGATATTTATTCTTTAATATAACATTCGTGATGGACATGAATTTCAAAAACAAAAATACTAAATCGGACAACCGTGTTTCTGACAAAAAGATAATAGTAGATATCAATTGTGATTTTGTATTGGCCTATTAGGGATACAATTGATGATTTGATCATAATTTAATATAAATTATTAAAATAGAATAATACAATTAGAGGTAAGATATTTTGACTACCAATTTTTTCTATTACCACTCCACTACCACTTTAATCATCATTGGATTAAAAGTTATTTTTCTTTTCTCTCTCTTCATTCAACTTTTCCTCTAATCCAATGGTGATTAGAGTGGTAATAGAGTAGTAGTAGAAAAATTGATAGTCAAAATATCCTAACCCATACAATTAATATCTATTTTTGGTACTTTATTGATAAAATTTTCCTTGAGCGCATGTTTGCCGCTAAATGTTCATGAGATAAATTATGTGGGTATAATTATTTAACATAGTTAACTGCTAAAATCAATATCGGTGGACTTTGTGCCTTAGTCAATTTGCATTTGATTGAAACCCAAATTTATTTACTTGCTTTAATTTAGCATCCAATTCATTTTAATCATTTCTTTTGTTTTTTCTTTACATCATTGTTCTTCAGTAGAGGATAAAAAACCAGTTTCACTTTCATTAAACATTCAACATTTAATGGGTGAAATCGCGCTATTGTCAATTGATTATCAACACGAAATAAGTGTGGAGTAATTTTTTCTCAAAATTTTCCACGTCTCTAAATTTTTTCTCGTGTGAGGGAGCGTGTTGAGATATATAGTCCCACATTGATTGTATGAACAACTAATGCGGAGTTTATAAAGCCGAGCACTCTTACCCTTTGAACTAGCTTTTGGAGTGGTGTATCCCAAGGTTCTTTACATGGTATCAGATCTTGAGCCCTCACCGCCTCTCACTTAAAAGTGGAATTAAAATAAAAAGCACAAAAAGATAAACCAAAAATTGGGCCTGTGCATAATCCACGCTTCAAGCCCAATGGGCTCTCGTGTGAGGGAACGTATTGAGATATATAGTCCCACACTGGTTGTATGAGCCAACTAAGTGGAGTTTATAAAGCCTTGGGTACTCCCACCCTTAGAGCTAACTTTTGGGGTGGTGTATCCCAAGGTTCTTTACACATACTAACAAATTGTTTTATGATTATGAGTATTTATATTTAGAACAATTGGTTAATTATTGTTATATGTGTTACATGAATTTTATATTTGTCTTTTTTGAAAGGGAATATAATTAGAGTTTGATTTTGATGTACTATATAAGCGTAAAAAACATTTTACACTATATAATCCAATCCAATGATGTATATTACTTCATTGTTAAAATAAATATTTCACATTAATTTTGTTTTATTTTATATTTTTATATCATTTTTACTTTTAATATTGTCTCGTACATCATACGGACACATACTTTGGTTGATCTAAAAATAATTATGAACTGCTCTGTACATTCAGACATGCAGTGAAATGGTGATACCCATCGGCATAGGAAACGATACCATGTTTCCACCAAACCCTTTCATCCTAAAGATCTTTGCAAAAGAGTGCAAGCAACGATATGGTGTCTCACCTCGCCCTCATTGGGTCACTACTTATTATGGAGGCCATGTTAGTACTTCTTTCTTCTCTTCTCCTTGTGACATCCATATATATATATAGATTCATTCTCCTAACAGTTTTCTATATTATATAACTTATACATAATGGGTCAGTAGTTAAATATCATTTTCAATTGTGGATTAACACCAAGAAACTTCATTGGCAGAATATAAAATTGGTTCTTCAAAGATTTGGTAGCAATATAATTTTCTCGAATGGACTAAAAGACCCTTACAGTAGTGGCGGGTAAGCAAAGTAAAATACAAAAACTAAATTGATCATAATTCTCTTATATATTTTAGGTAATTGTTTTAGAACAATATTTTAAAACAACTTTGTATGTATAAATCTTCTATATATTTCAGGGTTTTGGAGAATTTATCAGACAATCTTGTTGCCGTCCATACACTTAATGGTATGCCTTTGTATTCTAGATCTGTTAATATATTTTAGTTGTCTATTTATATAATTATATTAGAATATATATTTTTCTTCCGTCTTTTTTTTTCTTGCTGAGAACTGTCCATCTTTCTTTTTTCTTTTTCTTTTTACAAAAATAAATAAATATACAAACACCATTTATACTTGTACAATGTATGGCTAGGCATAATTTCGTATCATAATTCAAATAATATCTGAAAAAAAATGCCAAATAATTGGATAACAAAGTTTATGAAATGAATAATTGTGGTAGCACATTCACCAATGACGAAGAACAAAATCAAAAATCCTTTCCGGAAAACCCTTAAAAATCAATTGCATTCTTAGCTACCAAGAATTTTTCTTTTGTCACAAATCTGTGATCACACTTACGGACTGCAAACTAGCAATCAAAGTGATATATAATTATATTATTTTAAAATTTTGTCATAATTTGAAAAGAAACTTTTTATGTAAACAAATAATTGAAAGTTTGGAAAAGAATTTGATTAGTCTTTTAAACAATTTTATTAACAATTTTTTTCAAAAAATAATGGAATTTTAAAATAAAATATTAATAACATACTAGTAGCCAACTAGGAGCTCTCTTTTTGTCTTTCTAATTATATCATATATATTTATTTATTTATTTATTTTATTTTTACCATTTTCTATGAAACCAATCGAATGATACTATGGTTGACACATGTTTGTTTTTAAGGATCTCATTGCCTGGATATTCTTCGTGCAAATCAAAGCGATCCAGGATGGTTGGTCGAACAACGGAAGAAAGAGATCAAGATTATCAAAGGGTGGATCACCCAGTACTATTCTGATCTTAAAGGGACTACAAATTCCAGAGCAAATGATTATGTGAAAAACAAGTTGACAAATCCTTAAATTTACACATATCAAGGAAAGATGTTGGAATAATCGAACAGAAGTTTCGACGGTTTACTGCAATTCCAACCATGAATATACAATAGTAACTTCCGTTAACAACGATGTCATGTTACCAATGGAATGATGATTTATGATGTCATATAGGTTTTATGGTTATGAGTTTTCAGGATGCTATTGCTATTGTTAGAACATAATATAAATCATTAAAAAAGTCTTCACCTAATAACTTAAATTTTTTGGTTGAATTGGTTCATGACCACTTGATCACGAGTTTGATCCGGATGCATCATCCAGCCTAACCTTATCCAACGCCTTAAGGTTTTGGGTTGAAATTATTCTTGCATATGAAATATTTATGGGCTCTCGTGCGAGGAGGGAGCGTGATAGAGAAATATAAAATCATAGAAACATGAAGGATACTTGTGGTTTATCACAAAAGTAACATGACATTTTGCCACAAAAGTGAGTCTATTTCTAAGAATAACATAACATATCATCTTGAAAATCAATTCGGTGCTTAATTCACTAGGCAAAAAATTAATTTAATGTTTTTTAATAAATTAATTACGCATTTATTACAATTTTTTTAAAAAATACGGATCTATTGCACAATGTCACGTCCCTTTTGAGCGTCACATGTCACGCCCAAAGAGGGCGTCACGCCCAAACCAGGTGTGACATGTGACGCTTAAAAGGGGCGTCACCCAACCAGCCTATAAAAACTCCTCATTTTTTCATTTTTACCATTTCACTCTTACCCTAACCTCTCTCTAACCAAGTTGTGCTCTCAACCGTTCGTGAAATTTTTCGTAGCGAAGCTCTGCCAACTTAGGTAAGTTCCTAATACTTGCTATATATATGTTTCAATTACAGTGCTACATTACGAATATGTTAGGATTTATCGTATATTAGAGACGTAAAGAATAATGATAGTGACTTACGAGTTTTGTACTATGCTATGAATGTTGTAATGACTTAGTATATTTTTTTTGTTACGTAGCTATTATTATTATAATTTAATTATGCATTGGGCTTTAATGTATGTTAGTGATTTAGAAAATAGTGATAGTGACTACGTAATTTGTGTACCATATTATGAATGTTGTAGTGTTTTAAAAACTTGTTAGTGACATAGGTGTTATTATTATTATATAATTATGAAATTATTTGTGACTTAGGGTTTAGTATTATGTCATTGCGATTTAATTAGAGTCTGAATGTTATCAATTATTTCATAACAAATAAATTAGTGTAATACGTATTAATAATATGTCATTAATTACGATTGTAGTAAATACGTAGGGTTCATGGTTAATAATTTTGATAATAAATTAGGGCATTGCTTAATTAATTTGTACATAAAATTAGATGTTACATGTGATTAATATCAATGTTGTTTTATTTTATATAGTTTTTTTTTTTTTTTGGTATTCATTATATAGTTTTTTTACCATGGGTGATTCATCATCATCTGCTGGTTCGACATCCGATCCAGAGCCTACCGATCCTACTATGTACAACATACCTGGGCCATATAGATGGAGGTCCTGCGGAAGAGGAGGCAAAGTGGCCATATTTCACAGTGAGTGTGGAATACGAAACATGTGCGTAAATTGAAGACCAGGCGTGGCAAACCACAGGGGGGCCACCTACCGGCGCTATTCCAGAGGTTGTCGTCGACTACCTCACAAAGGCTGGATTTATACATGTTGAACGCATGCGACATATCCAGGTATGCAATTTCCAAAGTACCATCAGTGCACGACATATACAGGCTGGATTCACACAGGCTGGATTTATACATGTTGAAACTGTACCCTCAGTGCACGATTCTTGTTCGCTACGATAACTCCAATCGATATACGAGTAATGAGGAATTCCTTCCCAAAAAGGGATAACAGCATCGTCCCCTGCATATGGTAATTAAAACATGTTAACACAAACATCCTAAATCAGGTATATAAAAATTCTATAAATTACCTCTATGATGATTTCGTAGATCTGCGGATGCAACGTCATGCAGTTGCGAGATTTCAGCGACCACTGGTTCATGGTGTACTGGGATTTGAGACACGCCCATATCACCACCTTCATCTCCTTCTGAAGCACTAGCATTCTCCGCCAAAAGACGTTCTTCCATTGCAATATTTTCATCATCATCGTTGTCGTCTTCTTCATGCATTTCCCAAGTGGGTGTCACGCCTAAATGGGGCATCACATGTGATGCCCATTTTGGGCGTGACATTGTGCAGCAGATCCGTATTTTTTAAATAAACTGTAATAAATGCGTAATTAATTTATTAAAAAACATTAAATTAATTTTTTTTTGCCTAATTCACTATTTAATCAAATGGAAAATCACTTTTTTTAGATTAATTCACTTTTTGTGTAACCTTGCTTATCTTTATCTTAAAGCCATATCATCTTTGCACCAGATTTCGCGCTTTAAGTATTTTTTTTATACAACAATGGAAATAAAAACAAACAGAAACAGAAAAACCTAGCTACTGGTCAACTTAGGGTATAGATATCTCATTCTATCTTTGTCAAGCAGAATACGACATCCATAGGGAGAGACCTAAAAAATTTGGACATCCCACTCATCTATCATCAGATGAGAGGCCAGCCAATGAGCAACTCCATTAGCTTCTCTATGGATGTGCGAAATTCCAACAGACCAATTCTTGCTACATAGGTTTTGAATTCTTCCAACTAGATTCGCGAAAGCTTGGGGGCTATCACAACATTTCCTGATCATTTCAATAGCTGATGTAGAGTCTGATTCTAGCCAAACCAATTTGAATCATCTCTCCCAAGCCAGCTCTAGCAATATTCCCCATAACTTAGTCGTATAGGAATTGTTGAAACCAATATTTTTTTTGTTGAAACCCACCATCCAGCCTCCCAAGGTATTCCTAATAACACCACCGCACCCAGTTATCCTACCATTGTCACTACAAGCTCCAACTATATTAATCTTCACCCAACCAGGATCAAGAAAGATCCACTTTATAAGAACTTTTCTCTTGGATCTCGTAGATAGCCCAACTTTAACGAGTGTAATATCCAAATAATAATATTGTAATAATAAGTTTAATTATTGTATAAAATAAGATACAACTGATAGTATTATAAAATATATATAATCAGTTTAATTTACATGGATACTTACGTAAATTCATAATAAAGTATGAACATTTTATATAAGTTTACAATCATATGTATTGTATGTACGCAAAATTTTACTTTTATATAAATAATATATTATAAATTTATCAATAAGTATTTTTAGCATTTAACGATGTAACATATATTAAAGAGATATGAGTATATGATATGGTACTTTTAACATAGTGTTATAGACAACATTCTAAAATTATTTATTCGATAATCATTTATATACATGTATAATTTCTTTATAAACAATATCACATTTTATAAACATTTTATGTTACACAAATGTAATAATAGAATAAAATAAAAATAAATAAATAAATACATATATATATATAAATAAAAAAATAATATATATATTAATAAATAATAAGAATAAATATAGATATTAAAGTATTAAACAAATAATTAACATTATATAAATAATATATAAAAAAATAAAAATATATATATAATAACTTGGCAAGGAGGGGGCCACGTGGAACAACCCCCTCCAAGCCAAATTGATAAGTATGCAAAGATATTTGTTTACTTAAGTAATCGGCAAGATTTTATTAGATTTTGTTTTAAAAAAAATTAAAAAGAAAAGAAAATAAAGAGGAAAGTTAAAAGTAGCGACTATATATAGATGCGTATGTGTTTAAACCCTCCCTTATCTTGTAGAAGTAAAAAACAAAAAAGAGAGAGAAACATAGAGTTGAAGAAAGACGAGAACGTAAAGAAAAAAAAGGTAATGTTGATGGATTAACTTATTCTCTTATTCTTCTTCTTTATAATTTAAGGTTGAATTTTTATACAATAGTAATGCTACCCTGTCAAATTCTTCTTGAGTTCTTTTCTATTTGACTTTATTCTATTTTATTTTTATCTTTAGATTTATTTTTTAATTTTATTTCTATGAAGTTGGTTATAAAACTATTAATTCTTTTGGTACTAAATGAATGTTAACAGAATGTGTAAATTTTAACTGTAAGATTCTCATGTGAACTGACCCACAAAGATTTGGGTTCAGATGACAATACTGTAAGGGACGCCTTACTTGGCTTGAGCTCCGCCATATAGAACATTTCACATGTAGAGACCCACAAAATTGGGCATTTAATTAATTTCAGTTAAATATTACACAATGTACTATTTATTGTTATTTCTGATATTACATCATTTTATGAAACTACTTAAGAGAATAAGATTTTCTGTTATTACGCCTGGAATGGTTATAGTTAAAAAACATCAATATTACTGAGATTTTCTCACGTGTTTTGTCTTATGCTAACCTTTCCAGAGAATCATCATGCCTAACCTGTGTTTCACTGGTCAAGGATGGGGGATATCAATCTATTTCTTTGAAAATCGTTCTGAATTAGTGTACGACTTGTGACTTCCGTAGTTGAAATTTAATATATGTACTTGTCTGATGTAATTTAGCTAGAAAGTTGAAACTGATGTAAAATAGTTTTGAATGTAAAATATATGTACTTAACTTGGTACCACGTATAAAGTAACTTAGAAAGTTGGTATGGATGTTTATATTCTATATGTAATTGTTCTTATTGTTGAGGCATGGTTAAAGAAATAAGCTGATATTCTCTATACTAGTTAGATATAAAGGATGTTACAACGAGGGTATTAGTAGCTTGTTGGGCGGTACACATCGATATTGATGCTATGGGGATTATTAGATTGGCCATTAAACACCAAATTATTTCTCTCCTTTCAGACGAATCAACAAGCTACACCAAAAATGATATTCCACTTGATCTGATGGTTTCCCAAAAGAGTGCTCTTAAGATTGCTAGATAACCAATCTGAAAAGTCTCCTCGAAAAAAAATTTGTTCGATCACTACCATGAGCTAGGTGCAAGCACATCTCCTTGCTCCAGTGGCAATCACAAAAAAAGTTGCAAACAGTTCTCCACATAAGAATTACATCTGGGGCACAAGTCTGAAGCACTCACGTTCCTCATGATTCTTAACTCATTTGTCATAAGTTTATTACCCAAGAAGAGCCAAAGAAAAGATTTGATCCTTTAAGGGCCCTCCC